CGAAAATACCTAACTCCCAAACAAAATGTCACAGACTGAAGAAGAGTCAGCACGACCACTGCTGTCCTATGCGCCTTCAGTTTGAAACCCTGACAGAGGCTAAAAAATTCACCAATATACAACGCATCTTATTACAGGACACAAGCTACAAACAAATAAAAGTTGTAGCAGATAAGACAGTGGTTGAAAGGCGTGCTTACAATCACCTCAATAAACCAAATGGCAAGACACCGCAAGCCACTAAAATAGATAAACACACTGCCAACACGGTAGAACTCATAGCCTATCCCCTCTCAAATCTCACAAAAATAGCTCCACAGAAAACGAAACCAAACGAAAGACTTGTGAGCTATAGTCTTACTCCTAAAGTAACCTCTCCTCCCTCTACGGTGGATCTAGATATGCCTCTGGACAGCCACAAGATGGAAATCAATCCCTCTTGTAAGTTGACAACATCTCCGAGACAAAACTTGGCAACGCAAATGGAATTCGGTGACAAAACATGCCGAAATACGCCCCTTGTTGCGAAGAATCCCCAACATATTCAAACTTCCAAGAATAACTCACGCTTTAAGGTAAATAATATTCAAAACTATGCTAGCAACCAAATTAAAAACAAAAATAAGTACATAGGGACAACAACGACTAAACCTACTCGCATACTGTGCCAAGTCACACTGGTAGCTGGTGTAGTGACGCTATCACACAAATTTTCCATGTATTTTTGTGCGTGTATTCAACTTGAATATTGCGAAAATAGTCCATTCGTTTCCGCGAATGGACAATTTTTATTTAATATTCGAAAATAAATATGTTATATAAGTGACAACACTCGGAGCTCAGCCACCAGGTACTCAGGGTCTACAAAGCAAGACACACAAACTAACTTTGGTAGATTATACGGAACAAGCCTTCTGGGAAACAAACCACAGTGCAGCTATGTATATAACGACACCCATGTAAGGTCTCTTGGAATGTCCCCACACAATAGGCGGATTAACAAGTCATGGGTATTACAAGGCACCAAAGATTTTTTATCCAACACATCCATGTAAGCGCTAACCAAACAGCTGATGGGTATGTTAACTCTTCTGAACCCGTACCACTTATGTCGGCTCCCTATCGGGAAGAAAACCAACACAGTCTAGTGCACAAGCAATTTGCAACCACATCCAATGACTGTACAAGCATAGGCCAAATAAAAACTCATACCCAGGTCTCCAATCTACCCAAGCCTGGAACTACCTCAACCTATAGTGAATCCAATAATGAAACTCATTATTCACTAAAAGAAACAAATAGTAACTCGACAGACATAGGTGAACATGGTGAGCACACTAATTGCAACACAGGGTTGTTATGCCTTGCGGAACCAGTGGATACCGAACCACACTTAAACCTGATTAACGAGCTTGAATGCTTCAAACACCACTTCAGCTGTCAACTTTACCTAATCCTTACTAATGCTGGATCTATCCTAAACAAACTACCGATGCTCAGGGCACACACGCTGGTATTTAAACCTCCAATAATTATTATTACTACATCCTGGTGTCACTCCAATATACCAGACAACGAAATAAGCATCGATGGGTACACACGCTTTCGATGTGACAGGAACTTTGATAAGGGAGGAGACTGCCTGATATACTTCTTGAACACACTTACCGTAATGCAACCAGAAAATATGGAACTCAATGACAAATTATCAAGCTCTTAGGTACACTGGACATTTTCGGCTGGAAACAAGCTGTCACTATCCCTACAAGAGGTGACAACGTACTGGACTTGATGTTCTACCACGATATAAGTCCCCTCTCAATTTTAGTGGGTTCTAAGTTTTCAGGTAGTGACCACAAAACAGTGATGTGTACACTGCAACTTCCACTGAGTAGCAATGCAGCATATACCTCCACTTCAAAACAAGTAATATATAAGAACTATAGTAAGACAAACTGGGCCGTCGTAGGATCAATGCTAAGATCCTCTGAATGGGGCGAATGCTTCACCACTGATGACCTCTCGAGAGCTCTAAGCATCTTCAACCATAACTCAAACACATGCCTAGATGCTGCCATTCCACTTCAAACACTAAAGATTTCTCTGCGTTTAAAGTCAATCATAAAACCAAGGGATCGTACGAAGCTGAAGAGACTCTCGACAATTGACGTCAAGCACCAGACTTCTTCACACTAGGTTTAATACTAAACGCCCTTAGCTTCATCTCACAGGCCCAGGATTCATGTATGAGAAACGAAGAACGCACCGCACTAGACAGCCCTGCTAGGGGTTATGCCCTCACAGAAATCCTAGGTAAGCGACTGAATCTCATAAACCACAGCATTTCTCTCCTCATAGACATAGGTAGGCTATACATGACTCTGTAGACACTTGTGAATTATTCGACAAAACGTTTGCAGCTAACTACCTCAAGCCTACAGTCCCATTACTCGGTACACGCCCTATTACTAATATAGCGCAACTTCCATCTCTGCCCACACCAGAACAAATTAGTACTGTTGAATTCACTTATGCTAACATTGACCAAACTATTAGAACCCTCAAAAGCTCTAAAGGTTCTGGCACTGAAGGTATGTCATCGTGTTTCTACAGATATGGTGGCCCTGACACCCCTTTAATACTGCTTAAAATATTCACAATGTCCTCAGAAAACCAAACTTATTCGGATATATAGAAATCGAAGTTAATAATACACAAACACAAATGCGGCTCGAAAACAGAAGTCGACAGCCACAGGCCGATCAATATCACACATATAGCATCTAGAATTATGGAGAGACCAGTTAAAGATAACATACTCGGACATGTGCTTAGCTGAAATATTGTAAGTCCGAACCAACATGGATACCTAAAATCCAGATCTTGTTTTACATGCCACTTAGACTTCTTTAACTTTGTGACCAGCAGCCGTGACAGACGGCAACTAGTTCTTGTCATCTACTTTGACATTTCTAAGGCATTTGACCGTGTCGACCATTTGCTGCTAATACATAAGCTGAACTCCTTAGGAATACGTGACCCACTATTAGGATGGCTTAAATCATTCCTTAACAACAGGTCCCAAATAGTTAAACTCGGATCTGTAACTTCCAAACCTAGCCCAATCACTTCTGGTGTAGTTCAAGGTAATGTCATTGGGTCCATCCTATTTACGCTTTATATGAACGACATATGCGCTCGCTTCTCACATGGGATGACCTGAAAGTAGCTTATACATTCCAACGTGATGACCTAGAGTACTTCCAGAACGTTGTGCAGACAGAATTAGATAAATTGACTGCTTGGTCGTCTCTATGGAATCTACAATTTAATCTGAACAAATGTGGTTGGATCTGCTTCGGCGCCCCCTAAATCGACATGAAATTAACGCTTTAATCGGCTAGTTTAACCAGACTCCAAAGTGTCGTTGGCTTAGGCCTGAGGTACTCCAGTGACCTAACATTCTCTGAGCAAGTGGTGTCACAGACTCGAAAGTTGAGGATGCCCTTAGGATGCATACTCAGGAACTTTCACGACATTGAGGTCAAGCTCATTCCATATAAAAATGTGTAAGACCAATACTAGAATACTGTTCATTTATTATTAGCAGCACTCGCATACGTGACAAGCGAAGGATGGAAAGTATCCAACGACATTTCGCCTTCAAACTACTTTACTTGAAAGTCATGCCAAGAAATACCTTGCCGAACACACACGGTGAAGCACAACAGAAGCAGGTTTTGTGCTACGAAACTACTGCATCATGGAATGACTAAACATAATGCTCGGATGTTGATGTTAGAATACATAAGGTTTCCCTTGATTTTAAGAAGGTATTTGACAGTGTTAATCATGATCCTCCCCCACAAATTAGGCTAGGAGGGTATTAATGTCCCTCTTCAATCACAGTTTATTGATAAGTAGGACGGGAGTGAATTCTTAACCCAAGTCATTCGTGTTCTACCAGCTTGTCCCAATGCGACATAAGGATTGTCACAGGGTTCCCAGGACCATTATTGTCCTTAATACTCACCAGTTACCTGTCATGACGTCTGTACTGCCAGATCTTGATGATGGTGATGTAAAGGCTTAGAAAATGTTTGAGAATCCTAGTCTGCACTCAGACTTAAGATCTTTGGAAGACTTGGTACAGGTTGGTGAGAAATGCACCAACCTTAAGAAACTCGAAGTGGTGCAGATAAGCTCCAGAGTGACACTGAAATTCATTTTCACCCTATACGATAATAACTCCTCCTGTGCAACTTTGGAAATGGACTTGGGTTACGATCTAACTTAAGAATAGACACGAGTGCGAATTACATGGGAAACGTGGACAAACAATATGTGACCGTATGTTTTATGCTTAGATGTGTCCTTTCCTAAGTTTCTTCTTGTACCATACGAAACTTGTGTGCGGCCGAACCTTGCGGTGCATAATGTCACCACTACACCATTATTTAAAAGAGACGCCAAGCTCTTTTATGGTTTCAGAGAAGGGCTATGCAAGACAAAAACCACTCGAAAAAATGCTACGGAAATTAGATCTCCTTTACATTCAGCCACTACCATTTGAGGAGTATCCAGATCACTGCTTACAAGACTAAGTATGACCACAATTACAAGAACAAATGTATCCTTCCACCAGTTCATTACTAACTTCTTCGTGGCAACCAGCGGAGGATCTTGTATTAGAGAGCGGAGACTTCAGTGCCACTCCACTTCCTCACGTTTCGAGTCTGTCACTCGCGTGAATCCTTACCGACAGTTATTTTTACACACGGAATGAGTCGAATTGAAGTTCTTTCCTACCAAATTAAAATGTAACAATCATATGCCACAATGTATCATCCGGCTTTAAACTATTCCGGTCTTAGACCCATTCAAAATCCTTCTTCACTCGCTTGACTCCTTTCTGTTCCTACTAATGTTTATTATTTTTTAATTATTGTTTTAAATTACATACCTGTTTGTTTATCTAGTTTTCCTCTCACGAATACATAGTAGCTACCAATATTGTTATTATCAGTATCTCGATCACTTCCATACCCTAAAACTTCGATGTTACTGTCGCAACACCTCATACTACAAATCATATGCAACCGGTACCGCCTAATACTGCTCTGTTGCCTGCCAGATGTAAAACAGGATAGTGGGGAGACGAACTACGCAAAAGCTTACCAAAGAACCAGAACCATTATCTCACTGCCAAGAAGTGGACCCAAAGGAGTTAATCTTCTTTATACTGACCGGTGAAGAGGATACTCAGTGTTAGGTCGAATATTACAAATCGGTACAAAATTCGACATTTGAAGGTCGAGTTGTTAATTCCTGATGGCTTCATTTTATGGAGACTGTGGTTGTTACGTGCGTATTAGAAGTCGCAAAATTCAAATATGATTCCAGATTTATCGAAGTTAATGACGTTTCGTAGTTTAAAAACAATGTGTCGTCTAATATCAAGAGATTTGCAAAAGAACTATTCAACTGGCAAACCAATTAGCTTAGCGAAACTGGAGAATCTGCTTTATGCAGGAGCTGGAAAAGTAGAATTTTCCAATCTTATTAAGTCTGGAGTTGTTACAGATTCATGTCCTATCAAGACTGTTTTCGTGAACCAATTGGCCGCTAACAACCCTATTGAAGACCGATGGAATGTCGGTTTAACAGAAGTAGGTTCATTATTTCACATTCCAAAGCACTCTTTGCTCGGTTTCATCAAGTATAGTCGGGAATTACGCATATCTGACAGTGTATTTTAGTCGAGATGTGTGAACTCTGGTAGTCTTGCATTAGATTTAATTACTCTCAAAGTTATTCGAAAGTTGATGCCGGTATCCAGTTATCAGCATAAAAGAACAAGACTTTATTCGACTAAAATGGCCAACTTAAAAATTATAGAAACAGGAGTAGGCAATTGTACACAAGTGTTACAATTGGGTTTGTGCACAACCCAATGTAAAAGTATTACTGTGATTAAATTTGAACTAGTAGCAATGCTGACAAAAGGAGATAGTGAGAAACTGCATTAAATACTATTAGCTCCAGATTCCAACTAGTACTTATTTTGTCAGCCAAGTAGCCCAGTGACTTCTTTTCTCTTTTTTAATAAACAAAAATCAGCTTCCCCAGTCGATTTTATGTAAGTGATTCATCTGGACGATGAATTCACCTGTTCATGTAATATGCTTCGCAGTCACTTAATAATCCCAAGCTTACAACATTTCTAAACTTATTCTATCCTATTCTTCGATAATGCCTTTTTATCGCAAATGAAGATTTCATCTACCCACTATGTTCTGAAATAACGCTAGTCGTGCTTAAAAAGAGAGCTCGGTGCTGAATTAACTCCTTTCGTTCTGAAGTAACGCTAGTCCGTACTGAATATGTCCTGTGAGGGCTGGAACAATGCTGATAAGCAAACCCAGTAGGTTCTGATCTACTCCTAAAAATGCCTAGAGAAAGAACACGATGCTGAATTATTACCAGTCACGCTGAAAACCAGCACTGAATTCTAGTATGTACCATTAAAGAATCCATTTCAGAACAGATTCAGAATTTACTCACTATAGAATGTTAGAATTATTTCAGAATTAGTGAGATTTAATTCAGCATTATAGTAAGCTTAGGGAGATGTACCAAATGAAATCATGATCAATAGCTCTTCAAGTAGAAAAGTTTAAGGAGTCTTTTTGGCATTGTTGAAGTATCACAACCCATGCAATGCGAACCTTGAGCCAACCAATCAGGAAATACACTGGTTTCTACATCGAAATGACGTTTAATTACAAAAGAAATGCAAAGCATAACTGTAAAACACATTAAAAAGGATATTTTTCTCTGACATGACTCAATAGCAGCCCCTAATTATAATGAGGAGTAAGAGTTCTTGGGTTAGACCAGTTTTTATTATGTTTTGCAGTCTTCCCCAAAAGCCCTCGATCGAATTACTATGGTTTTCAGTTTAGAGCATCGGCGACTACTTACTAGGAAAATTTAGATAATAAAACTAGTTAAAATAACTAAAACCAACTCCAAAACTAATCGTAATTATAAGCCTGATCCTAACCCTAACGAGCTATCAACACATTGTCCAAACCGTGCTTAGAAACGTAAAACTTATACCATAATTCGTGAATGGTATTCACATTGTCACTGCAATAATGGTAAGAGTCCCATTATCCGACGACTAGTATACACTCAAGGTCATTGGAGCTTTCTCACTCCTGGGCGGTTATACTTGAACTTGGCCGTCTTCTTAAGGAATACGGCTGGGTATAATCATTTTTCCATTAGCAGTAGATCTGCATTATTCCCTGTTCGGTGCTTGTTTGAGTTACAAATTAATTGTGTATTCGTACCTCATTTACTCATCAAGTTTTTGCTCATTAGACCTAATCCTTCATCCTTATCATAATAGAAGTAAAATGTTTTACAATAATACACGATGTGTGCAATAAAAGATAATTATGCAATTGCATTTCTAGATCAGTTACTTATGAGTTATAAAGGATGGCTTTCGTAAGCGGTAGTCTTCTTCACATTACAATTAACTAATGGTTCCCATGGTGAAATTAAGCCTGTTTTTATAACATTGTTTATTCAGTGGGTAATGTACGTTGACGTTTTAAAATGACTTTTTTTCAGAGTGTGCTCAGACAAACAGAAATAACTTCCATGGGAAGGTCATTCGAATGTATGTGATTTGACATACTTATAGATTGTCAGATGTGAAATTATATGATAGCAGATTCGACTGTCATTATCATTCCTCATCGTTAGGTAATGCTTTCTAAGGCTTCTAATGGGGACGTTGTTAACGTTTGTAGTATATTAGCTTTTAAACAACTAACGTCAAATGAAATTTGCTATAATATCTGCAGTTAACTTTCAGATGTATATCAGAATCTACTTTGTTAAGTAGCAGTTTAAAAGGAATTAGGAAAAAAAAACAAGATTACTAAACAGCTGATAACTTCCTGCCATTATATTTAATAACGTCTTTTTGTCTATTATGAAGTAGACTCATAAATATATCTGTTCAAATTTCCAGAATTATTTATCCCACGTCGTCAAGGTCTCCAAAAATCAACAATACGACCTCCTGCCCTTCTATGAAACTAAGGAATGAGTCTTATTCAGAAACTGGAATCGACTAACATCACTAACCAATACGTATACAAATTCTTGAGACACGTACTATGCTCATATAGACGACTATGAATCGGTGTAATATCATAATCTGACTCTTTCTGTGTGTTCATGTATATCTCTGAATTGAACACTCATTTTGATGATAGTGATAATGAATGAAACCGATGAAGGTGCTTTTGATATCCTTGAAAATCCGTACTTAATTAAAGCTAATCAATCTTATCAAGAACTGAATATTTATTACTCTTATTAGTAAAAAAAACAACCTAGAATTTAGTAGTTAGTATTCAAGCGGGTCTTTCGTTGCCATAGGAATTCACCATTCCGGTTCTGGTCAGTTCATGTATATATATAGAGATATATATATATATATATATATATATATGACGATCATGAAGATGCGAGTCGTCTATTAGACAGACTTAACTCTGTACAGAATCATATTAGTCTTACATGCGAGGAAGAAAGTCGAAACCAGCTTGCATTTTTAGACATACTTCTGAGTCGAAGAGATGATGGTTCAATAAGACGATCAATCTACAGAAAGCCCACTTGGACAAGGCAATACCTTAATTTTCACAGTTTCTGTCCATTACATTATAAGAGAGTCTTGGTGAAATGTCTATTTAAGAGGATTCAACGTATTTGCACGGCTGATGTTATAGACAAAGAAAACGAAATATTGATGGATACTCTTGTTGAAAACGGATATCCTTTACAATTTTTAAACAGGTGTAGAAGTCAATTAGTCTCTAAACCTACAATCTATACCTCCGCCCCTAAGGAAAATGTTTTCATCAAATTACCATATAACGGGGAAATAAACAGTAGAATTTTGAGACAAAGGTTGAATTCGATCATCCGTAGAACCTATTATGCAGCCCAGCTTGTAATTGTCGAAAAAGCTAAAAATATGCTTCACTGCAAACCTCAAAAGTGCACAAGTGATTATGTCACATCCCACACTATTTACCAATTTTCGTGTGTGTGTGTGGACACACGCGAGCTTTGCATGTGAGGGTGGGAGAGCATATCCCAAAATGGCTAGAAAAACAAATGAATTGTGAAAAACCAATAGATGTAGGTGTCAGACTACCAACTTCGTCTATAGCTAAACACCTAATCGAGATGAACCATAAGATTGATGTTAACTCAGCCTTTAAGGTCATTTATAAAAACGGTCAAGGGCGCTTATTGAAATACGCCGAGGCTATAGCTATTCATAAACTTAAGCCCCCCCCCCCTTCCCTGTGTATTCAAAAACAGTTTATTATTACTCTTAATCTACCTTGGTAATCCTTATTTGATTGGATTACCAAACGTTGTGTTAATTATTCTTAAATCCTTTTTTGTCGCTTTGTTTAATTTAACTTTTTCATATATATTGACTTGACAAGTAAATGTGCGATCAGATTGTTCGAAATGTATAGCGCAAATACATCACATACCTTTTCAGATAATCTCCGTCTTCTAATAACACTATCCAAATATATATAACGGAATATTATGCATGAAATTGTTTCTCTATCTATCATGCTTTTCTTTTTTTTTACTTATATAGCAGATGAATGATCCTGCATCAAGTTGTTTATTCACAGTACTTGATGGTCATTCAGGTACAGCATGTGTACATGCACTTGTATGGAGTCTGTTAGATTATATGTGCGCTTCTCTAATGTTGAATGACAATCTTAAAATAGCATTGGAACAATTACACTCGTGCGGTTTACAACATCCCTATCACTTACTTCATCGTTTAGATTTTATTTCACCGAAAAATGATAAACAACATTTGAATAATATCGCTGGACCTCCATCAAAACTTCTATCAGCTTATATGCGTGGTTGTCTTAGACGTTATATGGAAGATTTATATAATAAACCTAATCGAACTAGTAAGTTGGTTAAGTTTAATAACACTACTGTATTTAATACACTTTTAACAATGTAAATAATGAAACAGTATTGTTTTAAAGCTTCTGTAATCTTACTCTTTCAACAGGTTTTAAGATTATATTTTTCGAGTTTGCCCACGGATTGATATCAGTTAGAGAACCATTGAAAACCAGAACTAGAGTTACTGGACAGCTGTTTCATCAGCCTAGTCTGGGATTCATCGTCAGAAAGCACCCACTCCCATGGGGTTCGAACCTAGGACGTTCCGGGTACACGGCAAGCGCGAACACCATTCAGTCACTGAGACCCGATTCAATGGCCCATGAATTCTAACGTCTACCGATTCGTGATTTTCTTGATGTTAGATGGTTGGAGGCAATCGGCAGGAAGCCTTGATTGGCCTAGGTTTCGTACTGGTTGGCACTCGTCAGCAAGGCGTATCTGCAACATTGGAGGAACTCGTATCCCCTCTGAGATTCGAACCCGTGTCACCCAGTAGTGCTATCGATTGCCTCCAACAATCTAACACCAACAATTCAAAGTGCACCGTGATGTCAAGCTGCCTAGAATGGTGGCCACATTGCAAACCTGACTGATAGAATTCAGTCTGCACCTAAAACAAAGGACTAGACACATCACACTAGTTAATGGTGTCCAATCAAAATTCGTGATTTTATTGCGACTGGCAGCAGCCGGTGTCATCGCTAGCGAGTATTTGTCCTCTCTAACTGATATCAATCTGTGGTCAGACTCGAAAAAACAAATCTAATCCTTACAACTGAACTCTTGAAAATATAAGGTTATATGCATAGAAATAAGGACGTATGTATGTTCTAATAATTAGTTACTCCCACTACTCATTCTTTTTACACATCTCACAAAATGTAAACAAATTATATTATATATTATTATTGTCTCCTTGGGTTCCGAGTGGAACATAGGGCTTCAACCGCATATCTCCACTTTGCCCTATTCTCTGCAATCCTCTGTAGCTGGCCTCACAATTACTCATAGTCTGTCATCTCCTCCTACTCAAACAATTTCTTCCATATCACCCTCAGAAACACGTCCAACTCGTCGTTTCCCACTCGCATTAGAGGTTCAGTCTAAACTTAGTTATAATTATAATTTGTAACCTATGATCACAAAGTACACTATAGTATGTTGATTTTACTAATCTATTAAAGGATTAGGTTAAAAATAATTTTATAACAGCAAACGAAACTATAAGTTGTTTATTTGGTTGTTTGGCTGTTTATTAGTCATACCTGAATTTCGAACGCCATGGTGTAGACACCTAATTCAATGGTGGCAGGTGCAGTGTTTTTTTAAGTTGGAATTCATTTAATTTTTATTCAGTTATCATGCAGTAGCAGAAGATAAGTGAAGTGGTAACGGAATTTCTTTTTATTAAAGGAAAAACTCATCATATTTATAAATTTTTAACCACATTAAAAGTCCTCTAGGTCAGCGAGAGATAAGCCATTCTGATTGGTTGGCGATTGGCTTAAGATGAAACAAAGAGAGAGGGGGGAAAGTTGTCCAATGAGATTATCTCCAAACTACTACTTAAACTGAATCCAATATTTGAGGAATAGACATTTTTCTACCTTTGCTACAGCCCATTGACTTAGAATATCGACTTCAATTTTGGTCGCTTCTTATCATTCTACATCTGTATAGCACAAGCTACAATAATACTTTTAGGAAATAAATTTACTCTTGGTACACTGTTTACCTTTCTGGTAGTGGTTCACCACTTTGGAATAAACAGTTGTGTTCATACCTCTTGTACTAGTCATAAATGTTCCAACAACTACTTACCATCAAAGTTTTCTTTAATCAATATTTACGTTTAGTACTTAAAGATATTTGTTTGGTTACCTCCTGTATTTTATCTAATTTTATCCCTTTGTACTCTCCATTTTGAAGTTTCAGTGGTAATGGTGTTATTCCTTCCTACTGAATGTGGGTGCTATAGCTTCACACCCAACCTTCTCTCCTTGTTGGGCTTACTACTCCAGATAAGTGAGGTGTAGGAATGCATATCGGCTGAGGATTGAAGCCAGGACCTCATGAGGAGTAGTTGACAAACCTTCCAATGCTGAACCTTATTCATGACTTATTAATATTTCACGTCTTATAGTTAAGAGTCAGTGTGTCGATGGTTCAGATTCGATTCCCAGCCAACGCACTGCTAAAAAGCATCGCCTAACCGGTAGTAAACGAGGGAAGAAGGAAGACCGGGCGTGAAGCCTAGCTAGCTAGATAACAACATCACCCCACCCTCCATCGTGAAAACAGCACCACTGCCGCTGAAACCTCAAAAGCTTCAAACCGTGTGTATACCATCCAAAATACAAAGGAATGAAATAGAAAGGTTAGGATTCCACGAAGTTGTATACTAGAACAGTGACTCACCTCGAACAGACAGACAGATAGACACCTGATTGCTGCGCACTATGTCGTTGTTTATCAGCGGCTTCCGTCGTTTTCAGTGCACACAGAGTGAAGAGGAAGTGAAGAGCCATCAAGTAGAGGAGTTGCATTAGTAGAAGGAAGGCAAGATAATAGAGATGATGGAGACAAAGATGAGTGAGGATTAGAGAGGTTTCGCGTGCTCTTCGGATTGTGAGGGCGATTGTTACTTCCCGGCTGCCCACACCGTGGAAGTTGGTTGCGTGACCGCAGAGCCCAGGGGACAACTGCTTGAGGCCAGTTTTTGTTTTTTCTTTTTCATTTGGTGTGTCTCAGTAGCATATTTATCACTTCTGCCCTGTGACACGGCAGCAGGAAGCGCGGTCGTTGTTAATCCGGGCCCCGACCGATCCGGCATGATATTTTGTGATTTACTTTGAGTCATAGCATTGGGTTGGGTAACTGCTTTTTGTCTAACCGCTAACCAAACAACCTTTCTGGCATGGTAGGACCTCAAGCGACATAAGTCTCAGCCAGTATAGCTTGTTGGGTCATTGCGGTGTTCAAGCCCGACCACCACGTCAAGGTAGCAGCTTTCGGTCGGGAGTTTATCAGTAATTGGAAGTTGATTGCATGGAGGATTTCATCATGAGCTGAGATCAGTTAGAGAACCACTGGAAAACCTGGGAGTGCTGGACAGCTTTTTCGTCATGGTTTGGGACTCTTCATCAGTACGCACCCACCGGGGTTCGAACCCAGGACCTTCTGGTTACAAGGCGAGCTCATAGACTATTGAGCCACCAGAAGGTTCTGGGTTCGAACCCCGGTGGGTGCGTACTGATGAAGAGTCCCAAACTAGGACGAAACAGATGTCCAGTACTCCCAGGTTTTCCAGTGGTTCTCTAACTGATGTCAGCTCATGATGAAATCCTCCATGCAATCAAACAAAAATCCCTACAAAACCAATACTTGAAAATTAATTGGAAGTTATTGACGATTGAATTCCAACAGAGTATTTATCTGATACACTTTGTTCGTCCTGTAATTTGCCACTCCTGCATGCAACTCTTCATAGTGTTTGTTACATGTTTACACAACTGTGGAGAGAGTTCGAACGCAAAATAAAATAACGATTCAGTCTTTTTTGTTGTGTTTTCTTTTTCTACTTATACCGAGAAAAGTATATCTAAAATATTTCTCTCCTTTATGTGTGTATCTAATAGTGGATCCAGCTGAATGTTTTATTGATGCTTTCAAGCGAATTGATGATGATTTATGCTCAATAAATTTTCCAAATATACTTTTCGATGGTCAAACTACACTGTTACCCTTTTCATCTGACGAAAGCCTGAACAACTCTCTGAATACCTCGTTAGCCCGTGATTTAATGCGTGTTAATTTAAGCGGATCTGTTGGCATAGCTGGTTATCTACAATGGCATGATAAGCAGAGTAATCGTCCAACTGAATTATATCTAGCTAATGTTGGTGATTGTGGTGCTATTCTACTCAGAGAAGTACAATCATCATATCAGCATCAAATGTTGAAATCGATAAAGGAAAAGGTAAGATAAATAAATACATATTATCACATAATTTATCATCCTCAACTGAGAGATGATAAAGTTGACAATTATCTGATCAATAATCCTCAAAAGTTCCAGTTTCATTTTCTTAGCCTTTTTTTTATCTCACGGTCTCTAGACAACTTCTATTTGTCGTACACTTGTATAAATACTAGCATCAGTCTCCTTAATTACAAAGTGGTCTAAAACAGTTAGTCCCTTTTATAAATTTTGATAGCATTATTAGAAGACGGAGATTATCTGAAAAAAGGTATGTGATGTATTTGTGCTATACATTTCGAACAATCTGATCACACATTTACTACTTGTCAAGTCGATATATATGAAAAAGCTAAATTAAACAAAGTGACAAAAAAAGGATTTAAGAATAATTAACACAACGTTTGGTAATCCAATCAAATAAGGATTACCAAGGTAGGTTAAGAGTAATAATAAACTGTTTTTGAATACACAGGGGGGGGGGGGGCTTAAGTTTATGAATAGCTTCGGCGTATTTCAATGAGCCCCCTTGACCGTTTTTATAGATGACCTTAAAGGCTGAGTTAACATCAATCTTATGGTTCATCTCGATTAGGTGTTTAGCTATAGACGAAGTTGGTAGTCTGACACCTACATCTATTGGTTTTTCACAATTCATTTGTTTTTCTAGCCATTTTGGGATATGCTCTCCCACCCTCACATGCAAAGCGCGATTACTTCTCCCTATGTATGTGTCCACACAAACACACGAAAATTGGTAAGTAGTGTGGGATGTGACATAATCACTTGTGCACTTTTGAGGTTTGCAGTGGAGCAAATTTTTAACTTTTTCGACAATTACAAGCTGGGCTGCACAATAGGTTCTACGGATGATCGAATTCAACCTATGTCTCAAAATCCTACTGTTTATTTCCCCGTTATATGGTAATTTGATGAAAACATTTTTCTTAGGGACGGTATGGATTATAGGTTTAGAGACTAATTGACTTCTACACCTGTTTAAAAATTTTAAAGGATATCCGTTTTCAACAAGAGTATCCCTCAATATTTCGTTTTCTTTGTCTATAACATCAGCCATGCAAATACGTTGAATCCTCTTAAATAGACATTTCACCAAGACTCTCTTATACTGTAATGGACAGAAACTGAAAATTAAGGTACTGTCCTGTCCAAGTAGGCTTTCTGTAGATTGATCGTCTTATTGAACCATCATCTCTTCGACTCAGAAGTATGTCTAAAAATGCAAGCTGGTTGCGACTTTCTTCCTCGCATGTAAGACTAATATGATTCTGTACAGAGTTAAATCTGTCTAATAGACGACTCGCATCTTCATGATCGTCGCATATCAAAATGATATCGTCTACATATCTCTTATAGAAAGGCAATTTAGAAATTAAATCAAAGGATAAGTTTTCAACATAAGACATGTAAACGTCCGCTAATAAATAACAAAGTGGTCATCAAATGGGCTTTGTGACATTAACTTATTATGACTATAGAAACACTCGTTATATTTCCCATCTAACTGCAATGGATTAATAACACTCGTATTATTGCCACCAGTCAAATCAGAAGCGGATAATAAATAATCTTAAATTGTATTCTATTTCCATTCAAGCACATCAAAACATTCTAACAATCAACTTATTATGACTATAAAAACACTCGTCGTATTGCCCATCTAATTGTTATGGATTATTAACACTCGTACTATTATTTCTGAATGTAGATTATCTCATATTGAATTTTATTCCAATATCGAATCGATTCCACACATGTATATAAATGAAGGAAAGAAGTTGTGTGAGTAACTTGATATGATTATGAGCAATAGTTTGTGCTCGAAACGTCATCAGTTAATATAACTGTACAACACTGTGTGATTTATCAAAATAAAATCTTATCCATTATGGAGATACAAAAGGCTTGTGTGGTACTTGCCAAAGGGCGGGTATACTGCTCAACAGTCCGCTCCTTCCTACTTTATGGCTATGAGACCTGGTCATTGAGAGTGGAAGACGTGAAAAGCCTAGCTAGCTGTCTTTGATCATAGGTGTCTGCGTTCTATCTCCCGCGTGAAGTGGTATAATAGGGTGAGCAATATTGAGGTTAGGCGTCGAGCGCTGGGTAAGCAGGGGAAATCAATCGCCGATGCTTTGAAGTTACACCGATTGAGATGGTTAGGACATGTATTAAACACTCCCAGCCTAGCCATCGTCTTCTTCGACTGGCAGTGTTAGCTTACATAGGATCAATGAGGTTGGAAAAGAGCTAGTGGTGGTCAAACCAAAACATGGCTTCATTAGTCAATGAAATCCACAACAGTTAGTTTAAGCCAGTCACATGGCGAGGTGTAGACTGACTGGCTGGCTGATTGGGGTCCCTGGTATGGTAAGAACCAATGACGGTTGGAGACAATTGGTGATATGCCTCAAAATCGTTGTCAACGACGGCGCAGATGCATTCACTTTGTGATTTATAATATCCAATAAAATTCTATTGTTCTTCCATATTACCATTCTTTTGCCTAACAATTATGTTTATTATCTCTGTTTTGAATCCCTCTTCTCTTGCTTTGTGTGCTACATGGAAGGAGTGTGGCAACTCGAACTGGTGCACATCTGTGCAGAGTTCTACGTTGAAACCAGTCAGCTATTGCCTAGGGACCATTGAAAATGGAAGATATGAAAAGACTAGCTGTCTTTGACCACAAATGCTTGAGTTCTGTCCCTCCAGTGTTAAGTGGTATAATATGGTAAGTAATATTGAAGTTATGCGTAGAGTGTTAGGCAAGGAGAGTAAGTCAATCGACGAATTTGTGAAGCTACATTGATTGAGATGGCTAGGACAGGTGTTACACATATCGAGCTACGACTTTCCTCATTGAGCAGTGTTAGATGACAAAGCAAGGATTCGATTGGCAAGGAGTGTTACGGGTGGCAGTTAAGCCAAAACCTTGAGTTGGTTCATGCAGCCTGTGACAATTGGTTTGAACCATCCACATAGTGAGATGTAGACTTTAGACTGGTGTTTAGGTCTTCGAGACGCTAAAATCCAGTGACTTGAGACTTTTACTGATAAAGTTCAAAATCGTTTTCAATGGCGCAGATACATTCACTCATTGTAATCTAACAGACCGATTTAGGAAGTTACATCAGCCCCAATGGGTTGATCGCTGACGAAATCTCAGCACGGATACAGAAGGCTCGTTTCGCATATGCCAGTTTATGCCGTCTCTGAAGTAGACGTGATATCCGACTATCGACCAAAGGGCGTGTGTACTGCTCAGCAGTCCGCTCTGTCCTCCTTTATGGTTGTGAGACCTGGAAGATGCTGCTACAGGACTGGACTACGTCAACTCCTAGCTTAGTGATAGGGAGTGAAGTGATAGAACATGTTGACCACTTCACCTATTTGGGAAGTTGTATCAGCACCAACGGATTGATTGGTGACGAAATCACAGCACGGATCCAGAGAGCTCGGGCTGCTTTCGCTAACTTACACCGCCTCTGGCGTAGGCGTGACATCCGACTGTCAACCAAGGGACGTGTATACTGCTCAGCAGTTCGCTCCGTCCTTCTCTATGGCGGTGAGACGTGGCCATTGAGAGCGGAAGACATGAAGAGATTGTCTGTTTTTGACCACAGATGTTTACGATCTCTTTCTCGCGTTAGGTGGTATAATAAGGTAAGTAATGTTGACGTTAGGCGTAGAGTGTTAGGCAAAGAGGGAAAATCACTCGAAGAGGCTATGAAGTTACATAGATTGAGATGGTTAGGCCACGTGCTGCGCATGCCTAACCATCGTCTCCCCCGACGGGCATTACTAGCTGATATAGGTGCAGGTTGGAAAAGAGTAAGTGGTGGCCAAACAAAAACATGGCATCAATCCATGAAATCCCTGACAGTTAAACTGAGTCAGGTAGGGAGATGCAGACTTCCGGGTTGGGGCCCGCCCTCGGGACTCTAATAATCAATGGCTGGAGACACTAGGTGACATGGCTCAAAATCGTTGTCAATGGCTTACGCAGATGTATTCAGTCTCTGTAATCTTTCATATTCCTTTCTACCATTACTCATTCTGTTTCACTCTTATACCTGTCAAAACGCTATTGATTCCCTTCACTCATTTTCTTGTCTACCTTTGTGTGCTATTTGGAACGTGGCAACTCCAACTGCTGCACTTCGGTGCCAAGTTCTATGTTGAATCCAGCAGCAGCAGCAGCAGCAGCAGTGAGACCTGGCCCGCTGAGAGCGGAAGACATGAAAAGATTAGCTGTCTTCGATCATAGGTGTCTGCGTTCTATCTCCCGCGTGAAGTGGCATAATAAGATTAGCAATATTGAGTTTAGGCGTCCGGTGAGTGCTAGGTGAAGAGAGGAAATCAGTCGACGAGACTGTGAAATTATATCGACTGAGATGGTTAGGACATGTGTTACGTATGCCTCGTCATCCCCTTCCTCGACAACGGGCAATGTTAGCTCACATAGGGTCAGGTTGTAAAAGAGCGAGTGGTGGTCAAAAGAAAACATGGCACCAGTCAATGAAATCCACAACAGCTAGTTTAAGCCACGTAGGAAGGTGTAGACTTTCTCGCTGGTTGGGGTCCTCGGGATGGTAAAAACCAATGGTTGGAAACAATTGGTGACAATGGCGCAGATGCATCCACTCCTTGTGACTTATGATTTCCAATGAAACTGTTTTGTTCTTCGTTATTACTATTCCTTTGTCTCACACCTCTGTTTTCTGTCTATATTATGCATTTCTCCTACTTTCCTCTCTTCCTTTGTGTGCTACATGGAGGGAGTGTGGCGACTTGAACTGCCGCACATCGGTGCAAAGTTCTATGTCGAAAACAGACAGACAGATGAGGCGTGGTTGGCGAGCATTTTACCGTTGTGCCACCAACGTACAAATTATGGAAACCGTCAACTTGACTTATTTCCTAGTGTTCTTACGTGAATATAGAGTAGATAAGACAATTGAGTTAATTTTGTTTTAATTCAGTTTTCACAAAAAGATATGTTGAAGAATGTAGCCACCTAGATAACATTATTTCAATAAATCATTTGCAAGATAAATTTCGCGAGATGATTTCTTTCTTCATTTCATAGATTTTTTTTACAATCACTTTACAACTGGTATGGTTAACAATAATAAAATAAAGTGCATGACAATTACTCAGTTATATAAAACAAAAGTACATACTACTATAATGACCAAGCATATTTAAATAGGTCAAGTAGTCAGTCCATGGTAGGCGAAGGTTGGAGTCTGTTTTTTTTGTACACACAGTTTAGGATGTATGTGATTAATGCCACAAAGTGCTTCCATCACCTTCAATAAGCAACCTTGAATTAGTGTTATGTGATGAAATAATTGTGAAGCAGTCATTAATTAATATTGATTTTGTGACCTGACACTAATAAATGCTTTGCAATGGATGCTGGATTTCTATTCAGATTAGTTGCATTTAAATATTTTCTGTGTGTTTTAATAACCATTTTGGAACATGTTCTTTTTGACGACACTGGAACATCCTATTGGTTCTACCTATATCAGCGTCACCGCAACGACTGCAGGTGAACTTGTAGATACAGTTTGATGAAGTAAGGTCTACAGAATTTCGTCCTTTAATCGTAGGTATAGGAATCTAAAATGTTAGGCATATGAGGAAAAGAGATGTAGCGTAGAATGCCCGCTTGATGGCTCAACCTGATTGTGAACCATATTGGTTGTAATGCAATTGTAAAGAAACTACGAAATGATGCCATCATCTCGCAAAACTTGTCTTCTAAATGCCTTATTCAAAATTTATCAAATAGACTAACTTTTTTAAGCATTATTTCTATGAAATCTTAGATTACTTCAAGGTCAAATGTGAGTGGTCCAAATAGATAAGTGTTGAAAATGATAAATGAGAGGAATTCAGGTAAATGAGTTTTTATCCGAACACCAACTCGTAAAACTGAACAAACAGTGCAAATCTTCATCTCCAGTCAATGACACTGTTGGAAGATATGCATCATATTCGAATTTATTTTTGATCCAGTTGCAGGCATTACGTCTGATATGTGGCTGTACAGATATACGAAGACATATTTAGAGTAAGTTTCACGAGCAGAGATGACAGTTAGAAGGTTAGACTTCTACTTAAGAAGTTGGACTCAGATGAATTAGACAAATATTGCAATTTGATTCTATCTCAGAAGCCCAGTGAAAGAACATTCGATGAAACCCCATCTTGGCACCACCATCAGCACTTCAATGACTATAGTTGGTTGCTAAACGTACGATACATTACACACACACAGTTAGGTATAATCAGCTGCACGTGTCATTATTATTATTATTATTACATCCTTTAATTCCTAGAGGAACGGTCGGTCGGTCGGTCGGTTTTCGACATAGAACTTTGCACATATGTGCGGCAGTTCAAGTCGCCACAATCTATGTAGCACGCAAAGCAAGAGAAGGAAGTAGAAGAAATGCATAATATAGACAGTAAACAGAGGTGTGAGACAAAGGTATAGTAATAACGGAGAACAAAACAGTTTAATTGGAAATCATAAGTCACAAGGAGTGGATGCATCTGCACCACTGAGAACGATTTTGAGCCATGTCACCAATTGTTTCCAACCATTGGTTTTTACCGTCCCGGGGACCCCAACCAGGAAGTCTACATCTTCCTAGAGGAACATAGGGCTCCCGCCTTGCGTCTCCATTGCGTTCGGTTCTCTGCTACAGTCTTCACCTGGCTCCAAGTCTGCCCTCTTGCTTTCATCTCCTCTTCTTATGACCTCCTCCAAGTCACCCTTGTGATGAAGACCAACTCGCGGCTTCCCTTTCGGGTTCCACTCGAGCAATGGCTTGTCTAGGGATGTCACTTGATGGTTTCCTCGGAGTATGGCCAATCGATCTCCATTTCTCCCTGCCTATTTGTTGCACAATCGGTTCCTGGTTGGTTGGCTCCTAGAGATGCCTCCCTGTCGCCGATCTTTTCTGGCCGGTCATTTGATCTTGAGTATTGAGCGAAGACAACTGTTAATGAAGGTCTGTAGTTTGTTTGAGGTGCTCTTTATGACGCGCCAAGTCTCTGATCCGTATAGTAGCACTGACGCTGCACGTGTCAACGCTCCACAAATTGAATTCACTGACAGAGGACCAATTTAAAGTACTAATCTCCACTTGCAATTTACAGTCTTCAGGGTTTGTCGGTATAAGAAGACCAGAACAAGACACACACAAATGGCGTTGAAAGATTTTGGAGGGAAATATCAGAGACTAAATAACCATCACAGACATACCACCATCTGTTTGCACAAGATGGTGGTCCAATGTAGAACTGTTGACGGTTATGGCAACACCTTTATTTAAGCACACTGGTAAGTGTTCCCGAGCGAGCACGAAGAATTACGTTCCTAGAGCAACTGACTAGCTCCACAGGATCAGTACATAGATAAAATTAGAGATGGTTAGCTAACCTAGGTACTTCATCTTTCAGTTTCTGAATCACAACCAGTTGTATAGAAAATATAAGCTGCAGCTTACTGGCATTATAAACGTTCTCCATTATGGATAAGATTTTATTTTGATAAATCACACAGTGTTGTTATACAGTAATATTAACTGATGATGACGTTTCGAGCACAAACTAGTGCCACTCATAATCATATCAAGTTACTCACACAACTTCTTTCCTTCATTTATATACATGTGTGGAATCGATTAGATATTAGAATAAAATTCAATATGAGATAATGTACATTCAGAAATAATAGTACGAGTGTTATTAATCCATTGCAATTAGATGGGAAATACAACGAGTGTTTTTACAGTCATAATAAGTTGATTGTTAGAATGTTTTGATGTGTTTGAATTGAAATAGAATACAATTTAAGATTATTTATTATCCTCTTCTGATTTGACTGACCGGCGGTAATAATATCTTCCATATTTCTGGTATTTGCATTGAGTCATTTCTGTTGCATGTGTTGGGTGTAGACTCAATGAACAAGGATTCCGTAATCAACCTCTCTCTCCACCTACCTATGTTACTCTTTAGAATTTTAACCCTATCCCACCCTATTGTGTGGTTGTTTGTTAATGCGTGAAGTGCAATTGCTGAGCTTTTTTCTAAATTACTTATCTTTTCAGGGTCAACCATTCTTCCCTTAGCTAAATTCTTATGTTCTGATAATCTGACTACCCCCGACCTACTAGTTTGACCTATGTAATTGACTTCACAGTTATTGCAGGGTATTTTGTAAATTATATTATTTTGTTTAATTGGGTCAATAGGGTACTTTAACCTACAGAGCCTGTCCCTGAGTGAGTTTGTAGGTTTGAATGCCACCCTAATTCCTGCTTTATTAAGAATCCCACTTAGGGTCTCAGATGTCCCCTCCTTATATGGTATTACTTATTCTCTCTTATTTATGTTATCATTACTAGTTCCACAATTATTTTTATTTTGTTTTTGGCCTTTAGTGACCTTCCTAATGAATTTTATAGGATAGGGATAGGATTTCCCATCTGATTGTATTTGATCAGTAACACTCATATTATTATTTCTGAATGTACTTTATGTTGTATTGATTTTATTCAAATGTCTAATCATCATTTTTCACTCAGGTATATAAATGAAGGAAAAAAGTTGTGTGAGTGCTTTGATATGATTATGAGTGGCAATAGTTTGTGCTCGAAACGTGTTCAGTAAATATTACTGTACAACACTGTGTGACTCATCAAAGTAAAATCTTATCTATAATGGAGTTATACTCTGCCACGGTGCCCAAGTTTTATACTTATATCAATAATTATGAACGTCCTACTCACTGCCTTCACGTGGCGGAGTTGTTTTTCACCAAAGTGAGGGGGCAAAAGAGGATGCCCGGCGCTCTTCACCGGGTTGACTGTCCATTGGATGATAGTCTAGGGGAGATGGCTAAACCCTGATTCCGAACCCCCAACGACTGGCGTATGAAGCTCACTGGAGCTCACCGGCAGACGTATGGACAAAGGGCTTGTTGGATGTCCTGGATGTCTGGCCCCATTCAAAAAGGCGTATGAACCGAACTCCGGTCACCGACTGCCAATGGATAGTGGACTCCCTACTCCACTCCTACTGCCTTGTAGGTCACACTTGGTTGTGTAAAGGCTAGAGCTGCACTCTCAAACAAAAGGCCGAGCGATTCTGGGGACATCACTCGTACCAAATTCCCATAAAACTTCATGAACTCTCTTACCTGATATGGAGTGTCTGGGGCTACAAACCGTCTACGGACTCCGTCTGTGGAACAAGAATTGGAGAACCCTGTCGCAAAACCTTGCATCAGATCGCCGCACCTGGGCAGCGATGATTCGAGATGTTCATGAAGCCGGCTCATCCTCCTGTAGGAGATAGCCGAAGTAAAGTAAGTAAGTTCTTTAGGTCGATTTTCTCAACTTGTCGGTTATTATTTCACTTTGAATTGTAGTCGTTCATATAGCGGCTTTGCTTTAAACAGATCTTTTTGACCATGTGTCAGTGTGATTTTTCGTTATTCTCTTATTTTATCTCCTCTTTTTTAATTGATTGATTACAGGTGATAAAGTGTTGCTCACTCCAATCAAATGTACTAAATCACATAATGGAAGTTGTAATCCCGATGAGATAAATCGTATAGCTAAAGAGCATCCCGAAAATCCAATTTCAGAATTATTCAGAGAAAATGGACGTTTACTGGGTGAAATAGCACCGTGTAGATCATTTGGTGATGTTCGATATAAATGGCCATTAGAACGTTTACTTAAATTAACCAGATTTTTTGAAATGGTTTCATTAACATTTAGTCGTGAATGGTTACCGTTGCCTCGTCCGTATACTAGTCCACCGTATTTAACTGCTCTACCAGAAGTGACACGAATTGAGGTGAGTTGTGATTTTCATATTTAAGAAAAGAAGGTGTTCAGCGAAGAGACTCTTTTCGGCGAATTCATTCACTGAGCTGTACAATCGCATTTATATACAATTTTGTTTGTTTGTGTGTGTGTGTACATTAGATTTATAAAGTTTAGATAATTACGTAATATAAGTATTATTTGGCTTGGAAACAAACGTTAATTAGATAGGAAATAAAATAAAATTGATTAAGTGAATTGGATGACGTAATACAATTGAGTAGAATTCAGAGTAGTTCAGGTTGGCAACAGTGTTAATGAGTGGTGGTTAAAATTAAATAAGGGTGGGGGTAGAGAATAATACAGTTGAAAATTAAGTAAGTTAATCGGATGACGTAATATAGTTGACTAGAAATTGGACGTGGGTCGAGTTAGCAACATTGTTAATGAGGGTAGAGATTACAAAAGGGTGGGGTAGAGAATAATACAAATAAAGGTGTGAAATAATAAAATGCAAAAGACAAAATAATACAATTAGTAAGACTGAAATTAAGAAAGATTACGTCCATTGTAGATTTAATGAATGAACGAATTTCTTTTGTATGCAGAGTTCAGGATTTAGCAGATGAATTGCCATTGCTTCTGCGATGTGGAGAAGTTTGATCCGTACACTTTTAGCAAGATTGCCTTGTATTCTGTATATAACTTTGAAGTTTATTTCTGGTTTGACTTGGTGTCCAGAATCGATCAAATGTTCAAGGATCGAGCTGCGGGAGCATCGGTTTTCTCCTTTATGAAACCATGAAGGTAAATGTTCGTTGACGCGTTTGGATAGCGAACGCTGAGTACGGCCGATATACCTGTTAGATGCACATAGATGAGGCCAACAGCGGTAGCTTATCCTTCACGTTCATGCGAATCATTGGTCTCGTGGAGAACGTCAGTCGTAATTCAGCTGCCATGGGCGGGAGAGCCGATTTCTCAGTATTTCTGTAGATTGGTCTCCATTGAACTGTAGGTTCATATAGAGAAGTCTTTTTGGAGCACTGGGTATGGGCGGCTTCTCTGGTCTGGGTTTCATTGATTTTGTGATAAATCTTTCTGGATAACCATTTTCAAAGAGGGTTTTCTTAAGAGTGTTCATTTCATCTTCTATGGCGTGCAGGCTGCAAATTCTACGTATTCTGTGGTTTAGTGAACGGATTAAGTTTTGTTTAATATATAGAGGCACCCAACTGTGGGAGTTAGTGAGCTGTCCGTTCCACGTTGGCTTTTCATATTTAATGGAATTGTGTTTTTGTCTTCACTCCCCCTCCCTCCCCTCTGTCAGCTAAATGAATAATTTAGATGTTTTTTTTCATCCTGTATATGCAGAAGTCGCACTGAAGTTAGCTGAAACACTGAAGTATATAAGATACTAGTAACTAATATCTGTATTAAAGTTATTCAGTGGTTTGATTGGTCACAAGTGTGATCACCAGTTGGCATCAGTTAGAAAACCATTGAAAACTAGCACTCGCGTATTGGACAGCTGTTTCGTCAGCCTAGTTTCGGACTCATCGCCAGTACGCACGCACCCACCCACGACTTTCCGGTCACAAGGTGAACTCGTATACCATTCAGCCACTGTCTCCCCACTCCTCAGTATAGCCAACCCATGAATTCCAACTTCTACCGACGCGTGATTTTAGCGCGACTGGCACCACCAGCTAATGTCATCGCTGGTGAGTATTTGTCCTTACTACTAATCGGGACCCCACTGGTCACGGATGACCCTGGGTTCGAACCCTGGCGGAGGGTGGATGATCTAGACATTCAGTTATTATGAATCTGTAAGTAGATTGTGTAAATGTGGTAAGAGTAGAGAGGTGGAAATAACTATTATGGCGTTGAAGATTCGGTTTAAAAAAGGCTCCAACGGTAATTGCCTCTATTACGCTTAACCGCTTGAGGCGTACAAACTTCGTACAGAATGTTAAAAGCTGACCTCTTATCATTGTTGTTCCGTGTCCACTGAATGTGTCATTATAGATCTTACTACTGGTTTCCTAGACCAGGTCGGACGAGTTTAAAAGGGGAAACAGTAGGCGCTTGATAAGTAGGCGTATTACCCACGTGACTGCTTCATAAGATCAGTTAAATGTATAAAGGCATATTAAAGTGTTTATACTCGGTAACTGGTTCTTCAACTGTATTGGAATTATACAACAGTTAATGAATTCTAGACATAATGTTGCCCTTTTGTGCCCTTAGCTTTTCTAAATCTCGATGCCAACAAATCGATAGCTGCATTTTTCTCCTGTATTGTCTGCAAACACCTGTCTCTTGAAGTTTCTGTAGTAGCGGTGTTAAGTTTTACAGGATGGGGTTGCTAGCCCCTTGTCCAACCTTCTCTCTTTATCAGTCTTTTTACTGGCTTAGCGAGGTGAAGGAGTGCGTCGGCCGGGAATCAAACCCCGGACTACAATAGGCGTGGTTGGCGAGCATTCTACCGCTGTGCCACTGATGCACATTGTAGCATTAAGAACAAAATATTCGGTGAAGAGACTCTTTCCAACACCGAATTTATTATCGAGCTTTACAATCGTATATATATGGTTATTTATTAAGAAATTATATCCGATGAAGGAATTGGATCATAGGTGTGAATACATGAAATAATAATAGTAGTAGCATGAAATGAAATTAAAATATCTGTGATTATAATCAGAGTTAAATGTCAAGTGGCAAAACTATTACTGTCATGTATAGAATAATTCATAAGGTGTATAGATGTTGGGAAGAGGTGCATAATTATAGGATTAGTACGCTAATAGAAAGTGTTACGTAACATGGTGGGAAATTTGATAAGATAGAATTCAATATTGTAAAAAAAATTTTGGATTTAAAATGACAAGTGGGACAAGCGGAAACAATTCAGAGTGAGAATAGTAATAATAATAATAATTGTAGTAATGAGGGAAAGGTACCTAGATTAACTAAATAAACAAAAATAAATATCTTTCCCTCTACGGCCAAGGCAGAAGTAGGGATTGTACATACTTCTTTTGTATACAAAGGTCTGGCTTAAAGTAATGAATTGCCAAGGCTTCCGCTGTCTTTAGAAGTCTGTAACGAAGAAAACGCGGCAAGTTAGCATGGATTCGGTAGATGATCTTAAAATCATGATCAAGGTTGTGAGAGTAACAGGAGTCGATCAGGTGTTCTAGAATACAGCTTCGCACACACTTCCTTTCTCCCTTGTAAAACCATGCTGCTGGAATATGTTCTCGTATTCGTGTGGAAAGCGTTCTCTGGCTGAGGCCAATGTACCTTGCTCCACAAGAGCAGGTGAACTGATAGATGCACATGGAGGCGGCCAGACGAGGGAGCTTATATTTTACAGAGATGGAGAACAACATGCGGCTGGTGAATGTCATTTGTAATTTTGCTGCAAAGAACGTTTTACTGACTGCTTTAGAGAGACGGTTTTTGAGCATATCCGAAGCTTGATCACCTTAGAATTCCAAGTTCATGAATAAGGTTTTCTTTGGAACTGAGTCGGTGACCAGTTTGAACTGCTTATCTTTCGTGTTACTGTCAACAAGTCGGTTGGGGTAACCGTTTTCTGCGAGCGTGGCTTCTAGGAAATCAAGTTCTGAGTCAACACAATCAGAATTATAAATGTTTCTTATCCTAAAGCAGAGCAGCGAATTTTGCAATCTACACCATTTCACCGTAGTTACCTTTGGAAATCAAGTTATACAGATCACCACAATATGTGTGTGACCTGCCTGCTTGCTACCATAAATATGGTAATCAAGAAAGCCGCTGATGAGCTCTCCTGGAACGGGCGAAATGGCCTTCCGGTGTTCAGATCACCTTGGTCACATATTGAGCTGAAATCTCACCCCCTCACAGTTTGTAAACTGTGAATTTGACCGGTTCGACGAAGTAGCTTGCCAGAAATCTGGTATGGTTCGAATTGACTGCGCTCTTTGAGCTGAGTGTTGTCAAACCGGGTACACACCGAGATGATGAATTCGGTCTCAAACGACCTGGTAAGCAACTACTCATTTCAATCAATCTGTAGTAGTATATATAGTCTTCTGCAAAATTTTTTTCATTTCTTCTCTTTTTTATGCGTGCATCTTTCACTACAGATTACACCTGAAGATCGTTATCTTATCCTGGCTTCAGATGGTCTATGGGATATGCTGACTGTAGAACAAATCGCTGTCCAACTAACCGACATACTTGAATTAAAGAAGAATCAACAAGAACTCTTTTGTCCAGCTACACAACTTCTTTGGTCTACACTAACCAATGTACCTGTACAAATGTCTAGAGCAATTCTACCCGGTTTAGACGATAAAGATCCTTTATTTGAACATTTACTCAAAACACCGAATGCAATTAGCAAACGCGTACATCGTAAGGCGATTACACGTGCATTGAAGTTATTATCTTTACCGCCTGGTTTAGCACGTTACAATCGTGATGATATAACTGTACTAGTCTTTGAATTCTCTTGATAATTTTATTGATTATCGGTGGTGTTGTTCCCTTAGATGTCGGGTTCAATCTCCACTCACCGACATACTCTTCAGCCTGGGTAGCATTTTCAACACACACACACAATCTAACTCACAGCTTGTTGAATTAAAAGTTTGTTTCACGGCAGCTGAATTCTTCCAATAACTTTTCTATCTTTCTTCCCACGCCTTACACATAGGGGGTAGTCTATCTGTACCTTCTGTGAAGATTTTTCAGGTTGTACAAGAGATAGAGAGGAAGGTGTTTTACTTCCGCTGTCTCCCTGTCGTCGTCCTATATTATGTAGACTAGGCTTTTATCGTAAAATGTTTTTCTTTTGTGTTATAGTACGATGTTCAATTTATTACATATCTGGATATATTTTAGAGGATTTGTAATATTATTGATTCTTAATTCCAATTGACTGACTTAATACTTTGCTCGAGGAGAAGTTGTTCATCTTAGTTAGTTAGTTTAGTAGTGAGTGTTACTGCTGTGTACGAATTGTGCAAGAGTTTTCCTGACATTTTTACATGTTTTTTTGTCCATTTTGTTATTTAGTTGTAATTATTTATTACTTTTTGCCTTTGTTTAGATATGCCTAAGAGTTTTACCCTTATTTACTATCTTGTCGTTATCATTTCATTTAGTCTCTTACTATTGTTATTATTATTGATACTATTACTAGTATTGTAATCAATACTACCGTCTTGTCAAGTTGCATTTATTCTAAATAAATTACTCTTTGTGAAGAAGTATAAAGCTTTCCCATATTCTCTCAGGAATTGATTGATTCCTCGATGGGACCCCCAAAGACCTAGTACGGCTGGGGTTGGGTAGATTCTGGTCTTCCTCTCAAAATGCTCTCATGTGGTTACGCTTCATAGACTCTGCCAGGCAAGTGCTCACAAAAATGAAAGAGGCAAATGCGAACGTCTGACGCTTATGACCAAGCTGATTTCAAACCTAATGTGTACATGGGATTCAGAATCTGAACAGAGTGTATGGCGTATGAACCTGTATTGATCACCGGCAATCATGGGAACGCAGCTCCATTGCCCTGTGGATCAGACTACGAGTTAAATATTCGGAGGTGGGTGGGGTTGGTCCCTTAAGGCAACCACCTGCTTCGGTCTGGGAGCCCGGGCAGTAAACCCAGCCCTCGCACAAACAACGGTCCATGAAATTGTAACTGCGCGTTTACGTTACGAACTACAGTCAGATGTCTAGCAACGTGTTCCCTATTGACTATAGTGTTATACATAGGGCTTTGTTTTTTATTTGTGCTGTCTTTACTTTTCTTGCATGGATTCTTAGCCTTTCTGTGCCGTTTTGAGTTGCCTTCAAAATGCTGGGCTCCAGTGCGACATTTAACACGAATTTCCTGGAACTGCGTGTTGCATTCAAGCTTGCCATCTGCAATGGTTCGCACACTGATGCAAGTCGGACAACAGACACGTCTGGTCAGAATACCAGAAAGCCTCGCTACCGATGTCTGTTGCATTTCGGAAACGCGTATTCACGATCCCAGTGAAATACTTCGAATATCTTTTCCAACTAGAAGTTCAAATGGTGTGTACCACCTGGAACCTTCCAGTGCCGGCATGGGTGGCTGGTGTCGCACCAAGCGGTAAAGCCGTTTATGTACTGTCAGGTTATACGAGAGTAAGAAACTATCGCTCTGGTAGGCGGCGGCCTATTTGTCATTTTGCCTATACACTGTCAGATTGCAGCATGGATGCAATTAAGGGTGAGTTTTAAAAACAACTGAATGAGCTACCGAAGCAGGCATGTCAAAGAGATATTGTAGTGCTAGCTGGGGCGTCTAAACTCAGATGAGTTGTCTGAGTGGGGTCCTCATGTCGCAGGTTAGATAACAGGGACCCTCTCCTGCAGCTTTGAGCAAATCACAAACTATTTCAAGTGAGCACCAACTCCCAACACAGCCGTCGCCGTATCGCCACCTGGCGTCCTCCCTCTGTCAATCAAGCCTGGACTCAGATTGGTCACATTTCCGATGGCGTGGATGCATACAGGACTGCCGGTCCTTCTGGAGTACATGTCTGCACTCCGATCATGCTTTAATGTGTGCCAGGTTTATTTTGCAGTTTGGTGGTGCTCATAAACCGCGCCCTCTACAAGTAAACTGGTAGCATCGGCTACCTCCGTGAAGTACCAGATTGAGTTCGAATCAAGACTAGATAACAACCCTCCAAATAGTATAGATGAACATTACCTACACCTGCAAGGTGTTAGGCAAATGGCCTGAAAGAATGCTCCGCTAAAAACTACTGTGTTTTTGCAACTCCCTTGTAACTTCTGAATGGATGCTGGTTCATTCCGGGAGACATCGACCAAAACATGCGAAAGGCGCTTAGACACAAGATGAAACGGTGTTTACGTAAGGATCGCGAAGCCTAACGGTCAGAACATGTGTGTGAGATGGAATGAGCAACTGCATTCGGCAATAGTCGGAAGTTGTTCCAGCTCACCTGAGCCACCGGCAGAAGGAAGCATCGTGTCAGCTAGACGTTTAGTGATGCACGCCAGATGGTACACCAGTTACCAACCTGAAAAGACGCCTGGAACGGTGGGCGGAGCACTTCGAGAAGCAGTTTGGCTGGCCATCAGGCCACATCCAACGTCATCAACTACACTGCTCCACGGTCAGTCAATACCGACCCACCGAACGAAAAGGAACTCCAAGTGTTGAAACGGTAGCAGGCATCCAGCCCTTTTTAAGGATGGTGGCGAGATTCTCGTCAGGGCTTTAACTGGATTATTCAGCAAAGTATGGGTAAGTGAGAATGTTCCATCAATGTTGAATGAAGCCATTATCGTGTCCGTCTTTAAAATGGGACGACGTAATACATGCGACAATCGTAGGGGTATTAGTCTGCAACCAGTCACATCAAAATATTGGCTGCTGTTTTGTTTCGCAGGCTGTGTTTTGTTCAGGTCGTGGATGTATTGATCATGTGTTCACCCTTCATCAATTGCCGGAACACCATCACACGTATTGCAGGCCAACAGTCGTTGTATTTCTCCATATTAGGGCCACCTTCGATTCGTTCGGCAGAACCGCTCTCTGGAACTGTCTGTCGGAGACACATCCTGACAGCCCCATAAAAAATACACTTCAGATAGAGTGACGGCATACAACTAGCTATCACCACTATTCCCAAACAACAATAGGGGTTAGAGGCCCAATCTCTCCAGTTCTAGAGTCAGATCTGACGGACGTGCGTAGTGGTGGTGGTCTACATCTCCATCTTCTCGTAATGGAGATGAAGTCTATCTGATTTTTTTGTGTGTCCGTTCAAAAACTGATAGTTAACTACATAATTATAATGATAATAATTACCCACATCACCAGCAAACATTTCATCTGTTTGATCGATGAATTTTATTGATTGAAATCAAATTTTCAAAAAAACAAGGTGTATATGCTGATTAAAATAAAGAGTAAATAAGATCAGAAATAAGTAGTGGCTTGTTCCATATACTACTGATAAGTCAATTAAAGTAGTTTAAATAAATTAACAAAAAGTATTTGAAAGATTTTAGTAGGAGTAGTAGTAGTGGTAGTAGTAGGAAAAATGATCGATCACACATGATGCATAAAAGATGAAAAGGTCACTTCACTGTTAGGGGGAAGGAGAGAAACAACAAAAAAAAGACAAACACAGCGACCTAAGTAAACGGAAAGTAATCATTTGTGCTTGTAATATAAATAAATATATATGCATATTATAAATGAAATCAGAAATAGAAGTCAAAATCACTGGCTAACTAACTAACTGACTAAATAAATAAAATAATTAAAGAGGGGAGAAAAAAACAGGAAAATTTGTCACACTGATGATGGCGATGACAAAGTCTGCTTGTGTATGTGTGCGTGGTATGTGAGAAAAAGACCCCCTCAACCCACCTCCCGAGGGTTGAGGGTGGGTGGGATGTGATTGAGATAGCAGTTAACGTCGACCACTTCGTGTTGGCAGTACAACTGGAGGTGGTGAAAGCGTCTGAATGATTGATTCACTTTGTGTTAGGTGTTTATAATTACTCGAGGGTTTATTCTTCATCAAATTGTCTGAAGTGCTAACAACAACACTGCTACCGCCGGTATCACCCGTAGAATCTTTTGTTAGACATGTTTGTGATTTATTCTTTGATTCAGAACGTTTTAATGATGATTTATGCATAAGAATTGATTGAGGTAAACTTTGTCGTGATAGTTTAATCATTGAAGCAGAATTAGTAGTAGTACAGTTGTTGTTGTTGTTGTGCTAGTGGTATCGGATAGAGGATCGGTTGATCCAGTTACTGTTCCACCTCCTCCTGGAATTAATTCATGCTTTGAATAATGTACACTTGATGATAAAGATGCGGATGATTTCTTTGGATGTCGAAAATGTTGTAGCAAAGTTTTTGTTTCCACTGGTGATAAAATAGACTGGTTGACACGTGTATCTGTCCTGCTGGGATCCACTTGTTCACCAGAAATAAGCAGTAATATACAAAAGAAAGGCAGAGAGAAACGCAATGAATATTATATATATATATATATTATTATTATTATTATTTTCAAGAGTTGGTTTATCTGTCTGTCTGTTTTCGACATAGAACTTTGTACATATGTGCACCAGTTCAAGTCGCCACACTCCCTCCATGTAGCACACAAAGCAAGAGAAGAAAGTAGGAGAAATGCATAATAGAGACAATAAACAGAAGTGTGAGACAAGGGAATAGTAATAACGAAGAACAAAATGGTTTCATTGGAAATCATAAGTTACAAGGAGTGGATGCATCTGCACCAGCCATTGAGAACGACTTTGAGCCATGTCACCAATTGTTTCCAACCATTGGTTTTCACCGTCCCGAGGACCCCAACCAGTCAGGAAGTCTACACCTTCCTACGTGGCTTAAACTAACTGTTGTAGATTTCATTGATTGATGAAGCCATGTTTTGGTTTGACCGCCGCTAGCTCTTTTCCAGCCTGACCCTATATCAGCTAACATTGCCCGTCGAGGAAGGCGATGACTAGGCATACGTAACACATGTCCTAACCATCTCAGTCGATGTAATTTCACAGTCTCGTTGACTGATTTCCCCTCCCACCTTACCTAGCACCCGATTAAAGTCTAGCCTCAATATTGCTCACCCTATTACACCTACAACCTAACACGGGAGATAGAACGCAGACACCTATGATCAAAGACAGCTAATCTTTTCATATCTTCCGCTCTCAATGGCCAGGTCTCACAGCCATAAAGGAGGACGGAGCGGACTGATGAGCAGTACACACGCCCTTTGGTCGATAGTCGGATATCACGTCTACTCCAGAGACGGCGTAAACTGGCATATGCAAAACTAGCCCTCTGTATTCGTACTGAGATTTCGTCAGAGATCAACCCGTTGGGGCTGATGGTACTTCCCAAGTAAGTGAAGCGGTCAACGTGCTCTACCACTTCACTTCCTATTTCTGATCTAGGGGTCGGTGTAGTCCAGTCCTGTAACATCATCTTACATTTTACAGGGGCGAATCGCATGCCAAACATTCGAAGATTGCAGTTGGTTTGTACAGATTTGATATGTTTTATGTTTCACAACGGATTGATACCAGTTACAAAACTACTGAAATCCAGCACTAAAGTACTGGGCAGCTGTTTCATCAGCCTAGTCTGGGATTCATTGTCAGAACGCACCCACCCCGATGCGGTTCGAATCGAGGAACTTCCAGTTACATTGGAAGCTGGCCCAATGGCCAGCGCATCAATTCTATTTTCAACAATTCATGATTTTACTACAACTGGCACCAGCAAATGTCTTCGCTGGCGAGTAGTTTGTTCTCTTTACCGACTCGATGGATCCCAATGATCACGACGTCCCACTGGAAGTCCGTCCTGTAACCAGGACAAATACTCGCTAGTGATGATACTGGCTGATGCGAGTCGCAATAAAATCACGAATTGATGCGCTGATTATTGAGTCTGCTCCCAATGGCTAACTGAATGGTCTACGAGCTTGACTTGTAACCATAAGATCCTGAGTTCGAACCCGGGTGGTGGGTACGTACTGACGATGAGTCTTAAACTAGGCTGTCGAAACAGCTGTCCAGTACTCCAGTGTTCTGAGTTTCAATGGTTCTCCAACTGATATCAATCCGTGATCACACTTGAAATACTAATCATAACAATAAATGAAAGTAAATCTATCCACTAACTATGCTCTGCAGACTGCTCGCCAACCACGCACGCCACACGTCGTGGCCAAGGGTTCGATTCCCAACCAATGCACTCCCCTCTACACATCGCTTAGCTGTTGGTAGTAGTAAGCGCGGTAATAAAAAATTGGGCAAGTAGGATGTGATTCTACTAGTGACCACTCCCTCCCCCGCGCACACCGCCACAACGTGAAAAAGAAATCATCACCACAGAGCTACTGAAACTTTAAACCTCAAGCTTTTGAAGCTCCCCTCCCTCTATATTCCAATCAGAATACAAAGAAACACAACAACGGCAACCATAATGACAATGTTAATAATAATAACAATAACTATATGTCCAAACCAAGTTCACTTTTAACAGTTTGAAAAAGTTGGGCATTGGGGGCAATTGATATTCATTATAAAAAAGGTTCTTTTTGTATTTCTCAATGAATGAAAAACAAAACGATATTGTTTTGTTTACTGACGTTTCGCTATTTAATGCTAATAGCTGCTTTATCAAAGTAGTATTATTAAACCAGAATTTACAAAATCCACTCAGCTTATATATAACAACTTAATCATCGTTCCTCAGCATAGGGTCATTTTTCGTTGTCAAGTTGGCCAACTGGTAAAGATAACAAAATCAAGTGTAGATTGTTGGATTTGATCAGTGTGTAAAATTATAAAAGCAGTGTGTGTTTACATAGTGAACTTGCCTACCACATTCGTGTTGATTTTGTCACTTCATGGGAGGAGAAGGGTGTTGTAACCAGGTCAGATTCTGTTTTAGTCCATCATTCCTATTCAGGCAATTTGGATTCCACTTGATATGAAGTGCTTCTGATGATGTGAGACGTTCTTTGTGATTTCTGAAGTTTTCTGGATTATTTCAATATTGTCAAAATCAATTTTGTGGCCTGATTCTATAGCATGTAGACCTATAGCTGATGATTTTTCAAGCTTTTCTAGTTCAACGGGATTTCTCGGTGGTCGAACAGATGCTCTACAGTGTTCATTTCTTCTGATTAACTTGATTTCTCGCCATGTTTGTCCGATGTATATCGCATCACATTCCAAGCATTTTATTTTATAGACACAATTAGATAGAGAATCTTTAGGGATTTGGTCTTTTATATGGCCAAGGTTCTTTCGTAGTGTGTCTGATGTTTTGAATAAAACTCTAATGTCGAGCTGATTGAGTACTCTTCTGATATCGTCTGACGTCTCTGCTCTATATGGAATGACGACTGTTGAGGTCCATGTTTTCGGAATACGTTTTCGACCATACTTAATGTCAGTGTTGATTTTGTTGATGAAGTTCCTTGGGTAGTTGTTTTGCTTGAGAGTTTCAGTATTGTTTGATATTTCTTCTTCTTTCTCATCCGTTATCAGACAGTGTGCTCGTCTAAGAAGACTTGAAACAACTGAAATCTTTGCGCTGATGAGGTCGGGGGTGGGTGCCTTGCACTGCGGGTTGGTCACTCCTCCGCACACCTCTTGAAATGCTCCCATATGACCGGGCGTCTTACATAGCCTCTCCTTAGGAAGTCCTACTCAGTGCCTTCACGTGGCGGAGGTGTTTTTCACCAAAGTGAGAGGGCGAAAGCGGATGCCCGGTGCTCTTCACCGGGTTGACTGTCCATTGGATGACAGTCTAGGGGAGATGGCTAAACCCTGATTCCAAACCTCCAACGACTGGCGTATGAAGCTCACTGGAGTTCACCGGCAGACGTATGGACAAAGGGCTTGTTGGATGTCCTGGATGTCTGGCCCCACTCAAAAAGACGTACGAACCGAACTCCGGTGACCGGCTGCGAATGGATAGTGGACTCCCTACTCCACTCCTACTGCCTTGTAGGTCACACTTGGTTGTGTAAAGGCTAGAGCTGCACTCTCAAATAAAAGGCCGAGCGATTCTGGGGACATCACTCGTACCAAATTCCCATGAAACTTCATGAACTCTCTTACAAACGACTCTCACCATGCTACGGCGTTCCCGCAGATCGCCGCGCCTGGGCAGCGATGATTCGAGATGTTCATGAAGCCGGCTCATCCTCCCGTAGGAGATAGCCGAAGTAAAGATAAGAAGAAGAGTGTGATGATCTGAAGTCTAAATATTTATTGAATTGGATTTTCTTCCTGAATATGGATATACTAAAATGTCCGTTTTCCATCCTCTTAACTAGGCAGTCTAGAAATGGTAGTTCACCGACGTCTGATTCTGCCTGCTTCCGAAGTAAACTGGATTCTGGGAGATACACAGTTTATTTTCTCCAGAAATTAATTTTTTAGCACTACAAAAGTATCATCTACTTATATCTTAACCATATTTTAGGAATGAGTATGCTTGAAAAGATGTTATCTTCGAATCTATTCAATGAAAAACGTCAGCGACTATTGGGGAGACTGGTGATAAAGCTATTAGCAGCAGTATTAAATAGCGAAACGTCAGTAAACAGAACAATATCGTTTTGCTTTTCATTCATTGGGAAATACAAAAACCTTTATTATAAAAACAACAGCAATTATCACTTACACGTTCGACAACTATGCTGAGTCCATGAACTAGCACAATAAGCTTCAATAACTTGTAAAATCTTTGTATCATCAGCTGTACGCAGTTCATTTTCATCTAAGCATAACATGAATTAAAACAACAACAACAAAAAACAGACATATCATAAGTTAAGCATTTGTATGTGCAACAGATTGAATACGTAGAATGAATTAGTGCAATCTGCAGAAAACATTGTGCCAGCTTTATGATTATTACAATTACCGTTAATATGCATGATGATTAGGCGGCGATTCTGTGCACAATGGATGACATACACCATGAAATAAACAAACAAGCAAGCGAGAATTGCAGAGAAATTTTTGCACACGGAATTAGCAGAAATTCACATTCCATAGAGATCATTACAACACACACACACACAAAGATGATGGTGATGTATACAGATTCTTTATTTTAGCATGCCATTATGAAGCGATGAAATCCAGAAAAAAATATATATATATATATGATTAATTTATTGAATCCTTGAACGCATAAGGATTAAAACAACGGAATATTCGCGCGATATTGAACCATAAGAAGAAAAAAAACAAAAAGACGTAAACAGCGCAGCGCGCGATGTAAATTTTCTTTTCGATGATTCATTTTTCATAAGCTGCTGCTGTACAATCAATCGTATTCATATATATTTAAACAAAGATTTTATAAGGTCAATCAGATACTGGTGGTATAGCGGTTAGGACGCTCGCCGACCATGCACATGGTCCGGGGTTCGATCCCCGGCCTCTGGACGCACTCCTTTACCTCGCTAAGCCAGAAATAATGCTGGTGAAGAGGAAAGGTTGGGCATGAGGCTAGCAACCCCATGCTGTAAAAATAATCAACGTTGCTACAGAAACTTCAAGCCACTAGCTTGAAGCCATCCTATGTTCCACTGGGGAACGTGAAGGAAAAAAATCAGATACTGGTAGAATTTGTTCTAGAAAATGTATCTTTTTTTTTTTATTCCTTCACGTTCCCAGTGGAACATAGGGCTTCAAGCTAGAGGCTTGAAGTTTCTGTAGCAGTGTTTATTTTTACAGGATGGGGTTGCTAGCTTCATGCCCAACCTTTCCTCTTCATCAGCTTTTATTACTGGCTTAGCGAGGTAAGGAGTGCGCCGGCCGGGAATCGAACCCCGGACCATGTGCATGGTCGGCGAGCGTCCTAACCGCTATGCCACCGACGCACAGAAAATGTATCACATGAGGTGTAATCTAGAAGGGGGCTGACTAATTGAAACAAAAAAATTCACCCTAGAATGTGAATCAGACAGCATCCCGTTTCCATCCCTGGATGCACTACTTATACTAGAAGACAAAACTGTACCATCCGAAGATCAGTGTGCGCGTTAGCTCTCGCCAACCACCGCCGACGCCACTAAATTGGCACCTAAGAATCAACTAAAAATACACCACAAACCAACATGAAGTGGACAGTTTATCAACTTCAGAGTTCGCATTTATCCGAAAGTAAAACTTACTTAGTACGTACATTATGTTCAAGGATTCGAAAAATACGATAGACAAAGAATTAAAATTATTACGTGAAATGCTACTGGGGAACCTTTGCCAGTCCCCAGATTTATCGACATAAATATGAGAGGAAAACCTCCGTCGCCGAAAATCGTAATGTCCTAAGACTGTTTCGTGAATCTAGAATTCAAAGGTGATATTGAAGCAGAAATTCTTAAAACCAACCACCTTACATTTCCCAGAAGACAGTTCATGCAGACAAACCGCTTTTGGCGACCTCAATTAGTGGAGCAAAGTATGTTGACTGTGAGCAACCTCGATTCCGTAAACGTATTCTGGAACCCTCTCTAACCTGGTTAGACAGAGGAGAAAGAAGAATACATACCACCAGCTCTATCCTTGAACACCTTTTCAATTCTTAACATCGAGCATCCCCGCACGATTGCTTCACAGTGTTCATCAAAATCGCTTGGAAAGACTTAGAATACGCCATCTATAACATAGCCAAAACATTGGCTGTTCGGAATTTGAAACCGCACTTCTGAGTTCAAAAGCACTGCGTACATTCACTCGCCCTACCGTGGTCAGAGTAACGCTCTTACCATAATTTAACTTCATTTTATTATGTAAGTCCACTACTACTATTATTATTATCATCCTCATTTTATTTTCACTCTATTATTGTTTATTAATAATACTGCATTTTCATAAAGACTTTATAAAAACGCTTTACCGCCTTTCCACTCTACACAACAATATTGATTAGTCATTTTTCACACAAATTACCTCATCCCAACTTCTGCCCACTTTTTCTAATTTCCAATTAATCATCCCCCTTCTCAGATTACACCTCACACATTATGCAATACCCTTTCTAGGACAAATTTCACCAGTATTTGATCAGCCTTATGAATTTTTTGTTTAAATATATGAATACAATTGTACAACAGCTTGTGAAAAATGATTCATCGAAAAGAAAATTTACTTCGCTGCTGTTTACGTCTTTTTTTCTTAAAAGTTTCACATTTTTGAAACAGCATTAGACCACACCATGTGAAGGTGGAATTTTCGAGCAAACAATTATTTTCGATAACTTCTCCCTCAAACTCTTTATACGGTTATAAATCCATGAATCCATTAGAATACAAATAGCCAGCCAGCAAAGGCAAATGAAATTAAACATCGAAAACTGTATTGGGGTACATGTGTAAGATGGAGTGATATTTCGTTAGTTAATTTAGTCGATTGAATGTATGTAAAATGTACAGTCATTCAGAACATGAGATAAAATATGAATGGACAATTGGGTGATATACTAATGTATTTATAGTTAACACAATATAAGTTTCAGGATTTTCATCATGAGCTGACATTAGTTAGAGAACCATTGGAAAACAATCTGGGAGTACTGGACAGCTGTTTCGTCCTAGTTTGGGACTCTTCATCAGCACGCACCCACCGGGATTCGAACCCAGGACCTTCTGGTTTACAAGGCGAGCTCGTATAACATTAAGCCGCTGGGACCCGATCCAGTGGCCAGCCCATGAATTCCAACTTCTGCCAATTCACGACATAGCGCAACCGTTAGCCAATGTCTTCGGCGAGTATTTGTCCTCACACCCGACGTGCTGCACCCTACTGGTCACGACTTCTCACTAGAACCCCAGGTAACTACCTACCTGAATAGGGCAAGTCGCTAGTGAGCATCTCATTGAATCCCGGTGGGTGCGTACTGATGAAGAGTCCCAAACTAGGACGGGGAAAACAGCTGTCCAGTACTCCCAGGTTTTCCAATGGTTCTCTAACTAATGTCACCTCATGATGAAAATCCTGTAACCAATCAAATCCCTACAAACCAACACTTGAATAACAATATAAGTTTCATTTAATTCAAATTGGGACTATCCCGATGATTGATTTGATCGATGTATTCGACCTCCTCTTCTTGTGAGGATGTTTCGACGATGTTTAGGGGGGTTAGCTTGAAGTGATTTTTGGTGGATGGTCAGACTAGCAGTAGAATCTACAATGCGCATTTCGTCCTAAAGTAATAACTGACACCCATTGCACAAGAGGTGGCTCTCGTGACCCAAGTGGTCTAGTGGATAACGCTTTCGTGTTTGAAACGATGAGCACCGGGTTCGAGTCTTGGTAGGAATACCATCAATGACTCAATGGTGAGTGCAGGTACATTCAGTTGACGAGTTCACAATGGGACTCTCTGGATTTCTCTGGATCCCACTGCCATCAAATTACTTTAGAATATAAGTCTCTTTAGGAATCGGTGAGTTGTGTTCAGTAATGTGACAGAACTGTGATTACTACAAAATACATACAAACAAATAGGGAAGACTGAATGTAAGTTCAAGCAAGGGCTGACAGATAACAATTGTAGTGACAAAATAAAGAGGTTAAATTGTGAACTGTAATAAACCACTACAGACATGATAAGCTTACTGTAAATTACAAAGGTTGACACACATAATAAGGCTGATAATAATGGAATGAAGTAAACTAGGTGATAAGGAACAAGAAAGGTGTCATCTCACATGAAAATATGAGATGATTATGTCCCTGATGTCCTTCTAGTAGGCCGCCAGCGTAGTCAACGAGGATGAATGTGCTGTTTTTGAACACATAAATCAGATTTCTTCTTAATGATCTCAACAGCTTCGGCTAAAGCTATATGACGCGTAATCGTATGCTTTTGGCCGGATTGTTTGGTGCTTGCTATACAACCGTAAATGAATGACTCATCTATTTTGATGCACTGTTCACTATCAACTAAATAAGATAAAATAACACTATTTATTGATTTCGTTACTCTTTTTCTAAGCCAGACAAGAACATGTTCATGTTCTGTGTTCACTACAAATAAATTAGTATGTCAGCCATTTTATTTTATGTTCTGAATGACTGTATATTTCATATACATTCAATTGATAATCCTAACTAACTAACTATCACTCGACATTATACATGAAGTCCAATACATTTTCTGATATTTCATTTCATTTGCCTTTACTGGCTGGAGCTGTTTGTTGCATTTTAATGGATTCATGGATTTATAAATATGTAATGTGCCTGACGGACTTGTTTCAACATAGAACTTTGCACCGATGTGCAGCAGTTCGAGTCACCATAGCTCATTTAGCACACAAAGCAAGAGAAGAAATACAAAATAGAGACAGTAAACAGAGATGTGAGGCAAAAAGAATAGTTATATCGAACAACAATAGAGTTTCATTGGATATTATAGGTCACAAGGAGTGGATGCATCTGCGCCAGTTATTGAGAACGGTTTTGAGCCATATCACGAATTGTCTCCCGCTGTCATTGGTCTTTACCGTCCCGAGGACCCCGACTAGAAAGTCCTACGTGGATGAAACTAACTGTTGTGGATTTCATTGACTGACTGACAAAACCATGTTTTGGTTTGATCACCATTAGCTCGTCTTCAACCTGATTCATCGCATGTCAGTCAGTTAACATTTCCCGTTGTCGAGGAAGGCGATGACTGGGCATGTGTAGCAACACATGTCCTAACCATCTCAATCGATGTAACTTCATAGTCTCATCTGTTGATTCCTCCTTCTCCTACCTACCTAGCACTCGAGCGACGACTAACCTCAATATTGCTCACCCTATTATACAACTTCATACGGGAGAGGAAGTTATCGAAAACAATTGTCCTCACAAAAATCACCTCGCTCTGATGATTCTAAGGTAGGATTTATTGCCAAGTAATTTTAAGGGTTAAAAAAGGAAGAGGGATTCACAGTCTTTACGAAAAAGAAGAAGGCACATTTGTCAATATGCATCGGTGGCACAGCGGTAGAGTGCTCACCGACCAAGCAGGTGATCCAAGGTTCGATCCCCGGCCACTGGACGCACTCCCTTACCTCGCCAAGCCAGTAGTGAGACTGGTAAAGAGGGAAGGTTGGGCATGAGGCAGGCTGGCAACCCCATCCCTGTAAATATAATCACCGCTGCTACAGAAACTTCAAGCCTGTAGCTAGAAGCCCTATGTTCCACTGGGAACGTAAAGGAATAAAAAAGACAACTGTCAATATGATCTCTGTGAAAGAATCTCATGTGATCCTAATAGTGTCTGGTAATTATTATCACAAAGATGAAAATGACAATAATTGTATTACATTTTTCTTACAGGGAAAATAAGACGAAGAGAAAAACATTCACTTCGATATATGTGTTTGAGAAAAAGACTGGGCGAGGAACTTTCTCTTCGATAAATCCCTCAAGTTTATAGAGATAAGGGACATAGGGGTGCATTTTAAAAGCAAGGCATTTATTAAAGTCATACATAGTCTTTCAACTAATCTTCATTTTTGCCATTAAGAGTCTGTCTACCGAATAAACTTGAGCCTGAGGCCATCGGAATCCACCCTAAAGAAGAAGCCTGACCTATGGGTATTCAGGAGGAATTAGTTCGCATGCCTTCCTTACTTACCTTGGCGATCAATACTTGATTGTAAAAATCTGACAATATATTTCTTCCCTTGGGTTCCGAGTGGAACATACGGTCTTCAACAGAACATCTCCACTCTGTTCTATTTTATGCGGTCATCTTTAGCTGTCCCCGTGACTGCCCGTAGCCCTCACCTCCTCCTCCCCCAACGATCTTGATTACATCACCCTCGGTCTTACGCTCAACTCGTTGTTTCGCATCTGAGTGGCACTCAAGCGATGTCATTCGACGATCCCTTCAGCGCCTGCCCGATCCACCTTCATTCGCTTCTATACACTTGTTGAGCAATCAGCTCTTGGTTGGTTTGTCGCCAGGCAAAGTTTCTTGTTGCTAAAATTCTTTCTGGCCAGCCACTTGATCTTCAATGTGAGGCCAGCGAAGTTGGCAGTTGTTGCTAAAGCTCTGTAGCTTGTTGAAAATCGTTTTCGTGACACGTGCGCCAAGTTTCTCACCCATATAAAAGTGTGATTGACTTAACAAGATTGGTTTTGAAAATCTGAAATTTGCTATTCACGCTGAGGTGGAGTTCAGAAGATTTCCAAACTGATTTCACAGTGATGAAGGTGTGTCTTGCCTTCCTGATTCTGATTTTGACATTGTCATCCGTGGAGTTGGTCGTAGTTGAAAAGATGCTGCCTAGCCGCTTGGCGATAGTGATTGGTGCTTGTTGCTGTTAATTGTTTATCTTTATCACCTTCGTCTTCTCTATGTTCACCACCTGGAGTCCTGTCTTTACCACTTACCTTTTCTACTAGTTTGTTGGTTTTCGTCTGCTTCTAAGTCTTTGAGTTTGTGTGATATGAAATATAAATCACCCGCGAAATCTTGGTCTTCTAGTGTCTTCTCATCGGTTCAACGTATTCTTCTGTCCTCTCACTCCCACACATACAATCTCCATCGTAATCCGGTCTACCACAATCAAGAATATCATCACCGGTGATAGTAGTAGGTAGTCTTGTTTTACTCCCGTCTTCAATTCAAACGTTACGCTGTGCATCACTGGACACGTTCCGCATTTTAGTTATTTTATTTTATTCAATTACGCTTCCAGTGGAACATAGGGCGGCTTTAAGCCAGAGGCTCGAAGTTTCAGTAGCAGTGATAGTGTTTATTTATCTACGGGATGGGGTTGCTAGCCTAGTGCCCAGCTTTCCCTCTTTACCAGTCTTATTACTGGCTAAACGAGTTAAAGAATTGCGTCCACTGGCTGGGAATCGAACCCCGGACCAAATGAGGCGTAGTTGGCGAGCATTCTACAGCTGTGTCATCGACACCACATTTCAGTACTCATAGAAAATCATTCTATTCGTAAGAATACGACAGTTCTCACCGGAAAAAGAACAATGGTTAAATATGATTTACACAGAACAGGCAGGTAGGCAGGCAGGCAATCACACACACACACACACACTGAACATCACCACACTCGCATACAAGATGAGCAATGTAATCAATGTATATATTTTAGTGAATGATTGAGTAAGTTAGTGGGTGAAACAATGCCAAACTGTCAAATCACAAAAATCAGTGAGTAAAATGGCGTGCAAATGCTGGAATGCTAGAATGCATGAAATTAACAGAGGCAATAATCGTTAAGATAATTACGGATTTTTCCCACAGAACGTAATACATCCTCCACAGTGATTGCACTTTTCTGTCGATCTAATCGATATAAATCCCACCGGAAAAGAGAAGTACATTAAGATAAACGATGATAAAGTGCACAAAAATGTAAGGGAAGCAAAACAAAACAATTAAGTTATCAAAATATAGTATAAAAACCAAAATCATTAAAAATAAACCCTGAAAAATTTGAAGGAAACAATTCATACTACTTAATTATTTGTTTTGCTCGGGCATATATATGTGTTAAAATGAAAGTAATAATAATGATTAGGAAACACGAATTTCTTTTAGTAAACTGCATCAAAAATAAAATTTACGCGCGTATTAGAGGGCAGAAAAGCGGCTACAGGATCAATTAAACTATTCAGCTTTATTGGCAAATTCAATCAATATCATCGTGTTTGGAATTAACCACTTATGGAATAGAATTTCAACACATTCATTCTCAATGGAAGGTAAATAAACATTCACTGAGGAACCATTTGAAATATCTGTAATGACATTTACAGGTTTGATCACGAGGTAACGTTGGGTAACCGGGGAGGATTGGACAGGTGTTTCGTCAACCTGTTTGGGGGCAAATTCAGCAGCACGCCCCCACCCCCTCCGCGAAGGGGTTAAAACCTAGGATCTGTCGGTTACAAGGTGTATAGGCCTTTCAACCACTGGAGAGCTGATCCTATGGTTCATGAGTCCCAACTCCTGCCAATTCGCGGCAGTGTTATCGGCGAGTAATTGTTCTCTTATCTGACGTGGAGCAGTACTCAACTGCAAGTCTATACAGTGGAGAACCTTTGAACTATAAGCACTCTGAACTAAACCATTTGTTAGCTTAGAATGTGCTTTGTCCCAGTTCTGAAAAGAAACAGAGTTTCTAAAGTTCTAGGGAGATGGCATGTTTTGAAAGGGCGAATAATTTTAAAAATAAAGTTGATTGACTGATGCAAAACGGTTAAAACCAGCTGAAAAAAAGCTTAGAAAAGAATGAAGGGACCGAACCATTGATCCGAGGCAAGATATTTATTATAATGAGATTTGACAACGTAGAAATGCACCGTTATACCACCAATATAATTGGATGTTTGTTAGATTTACTTTTCAAGGTACTTAATATTTGTAAATAATGTAATTTGCGTAAGTAAAACTGAAATGTTCTCACCGGCATGCACCAGTCCGCGCCTTTCTTTGGCAGGCCCTAGGGGTCAGAAGTAATCAGGATTAGTATCGAACACACAAATCAGCAGTATTGTTATATCATCACCGCGACATAACAAAGACGTCTGAAAGTGTGTTCTAGATACATCCAGCATCAAATGAGATAAGTTCACAGTTTTGTTTTCAAGGTGGTTGGTGAGTTCCTAGTTCCTGATTATCTCAGGACCGAAGTAGTAGAAGAAGTAATGAAGATACCATGGAAACTGTTCAGAATTCTTCATCGATATTATTCGATAGAGCTGACTGATTGACTGTTTTTGAACATAGAACTTTGCACAGAGGTGTGACAATTCAAGTTGCCCCACTCCATGTAACACAAAGGAAGACACGAATAAAAGAGAGACTCGATAGAACGACAATAAGTAGAAATTTGAGGGAGGAAGAATAGTAACACAGAAAAACAATAGGATTTCTCAATCAGACAGATAACAGAGAGTGAATGCATCTGCGCCGTTGAGAACGATTTTGAGCCATATCATCAATATTCTCCGAGCTGTCATTGGTTCTTAGAAGCCGAGGACTCCCACTATTAGGAAGTCTACACTTCAGTACGTGGCTCACACCAACTTTTAGAGATCTCATGCACTGATTCCATGTTTTCGTCTGACCACCAGTAGATCTTTTCTAACCTGATCCATCTTATGTCAGCTGACATTGTCCGACGAGAAGGGAGATAGCAAAGACATATGTTACGCATGCGTAGCCACCTCAATCAATATAGCTTCACAGCCTTACCTAACACTCGATACCTAACCTCAACATTACTCACCCACCTAGGATACCACCTAACAAGGGAGATAGAACACAGACACCTATGATCAAAGACAGCTAGCCAAGCTTTTCATGTCTTCCACTTTCAAAAGCCACCATTTGTCACAGTCATAAAGGAGGACGGAGCGAAGTTACTGCTCAGCAGTAAAAACACATCCTTTGTTCGACAGCCAGCCAGATATCACGTCTACGCCAGAGATAATGCATGTTGGCAAATGCCATACGAGCCTTTTGTATCCGTACTAAGATTTCGTCAGTGATCAGCCCGTTGGAACTGACTCAATTTCTTATTTCTCAAAAATATCCTGGCTCAAAATGGATAGCCAGAACACTTAGTGGAGAAGAACATGAAACGAAATCCAAAGAGAGAGAGAGAGAGAAATGTACTTCAGTACCAAAGAAAACACTGCATTTGAATCTGGACTTCAGAGGACACTTAGCGGCAGATATCCTTAAGAGGAGAATCTTTAGTTCCTCAAAGAAGACTCTTCCTGCAGTAACTCTAAGAGTGATATACTATAGTTGCCCATTGTGTGTGACAAACTTCCACATATGACCACTGAAACGTGCAAATAGCAGTTCACCTGCTACTGTGGAGCTAGGTACATAAGTCGTTGTATGCGAGTCCTTTCAAAACATGTTGAGAACATTACCCAGCATGGCTGCAAACATGAAGCACTGGTTCAATCACAAGTACCATAATTGAACGCTTTGTCAACACCAGTCACAGCATCTCAACTGACTCCCCATTCAAAGTCATTTACAAAGTAAACCAAAATCTACCATAAGCAGTATGTTTCTAACTTCTTTGTACTGCAGAAGCTGTCACCATATGCAGTAAAAAGCCGGAGCTGTGTATTCACAAGAAAACTAGTCCAACCTCTACATTTACCATCGATCTAGTCCGGTGTGACTCCTTATTTTCATGCTCATGCCGTTCACACGTGTATTCGTTAAAATACTATTTCCCAATCCTATGCAAGTGAAAAGCAACAAGTTGGCAGAAGAAGCATCAAAGATAGGACTTCAGGTGAAGATAGAGAAAACAGAGGTGATGAAGATTCCTGGCCAACAACAACAACAGACAACAATCAGCATAAATGGGAGAAATCTGAAAGAAGCAACCTCCTTCACCTACCTACCTGGGAAGCATCGTTTCAACTACAGGTGGATGGAACTGATGAGGATATCAAAGCGAGGATCGGGAAAGCAAGGCAAGCTTTCATTACTCTCAAGTCTGTGTGGAGGTCAACAGCACTCAGCATGAAAAATAAGATCCGGATTTTCAACTCCAATGTGAATTCAGTGCTACACTATACGGATCAGAGACTTGGCGCCGCGTCATGAAGAGCACCTCAAACAAACTACAAACCTTCATCAACAGCTGTCTTCGCTCAATTCTACTCAAGATCAGATGGCCGACCAGAAAAGATCAGCAACAGGGAGGCATCTCTGGGAGCGAACCAACCAGGAACCGATTGTGCAACAAATATGCAGGAAGAAATGGAGATGGATTGGCCATACTCTGAGGAAACCATCAAGTGATATCACTAGACAAGCCATTGCTCGAGTGGAACCCGAATGGGAAGCGGCGAGTTGGTCGTCCAAGAGTGACATGGAGGAGCTCATGTGAAGAGGAGATGAAAGCATGTGGGCAGACTGTGGAGCCAGGTGAAAACGTTGGCAGAGAACCGAACTTAATGGAGACGTGCGACTGAAGCCCTAAACAATAATAATAATATGGAATTTCGTTTCTAATAATCTTGTAATCTATATATTCACACCTTTGAACCTTCATATCAAGTTGAAAGTTATTATTATCGCCCTATAATCTCCATCATCGTTATTCTGTGGGAATGAATAACAATTCCATCTATGACTTGCAGGCGAAAACCAACAAACTGGCCCAAGAGGTAGACAGCGAAAACAGGACTCCAGGTGAACATAGAGAAGACGGAGGTGATGAAGATGATCGACCAGTCAACAGCACCAACAACCAGCTCCAATCACCATCAACGGGTGAGATTCGACAGAGGTTACTTCCTTCACTTTTATCTGGCTAGGAAGCATCGTTTCAACCACAGCTGGCGGAGAGAATGAAGATGTCAAAACCAGCCAGCATTGGAAAGGCAAGATACACCTTCATCAACCTGAAACCAGTATGGAAATCTTCTCCACTCCGCCTCAGCATAAATAGTAAATTTCGGATTATGTTCAACACAAATGTTAAGTCAGTCAGTGCTTCTATACGGGTCAGAAACTTGCACTGCATGTCACGAAAAGCATTTCCAACAACCAGCTGGCTCCATATTGAAGATCAAATGGCTAGCCGACCAGAAAGAATTAGCAACAAGAAACTCTGGCGATGAACAAACCAACCAAGAGCCGATTGCTCAGCAAATATGTATGAGAAAATGGGGATGGGTCGGGCATACGTTGAGAAAGCCGTCGAATGACATCGCTTGCCAGGCCATCACTCGAGTAGAATCCCAATGGGGAGCGACGAGTGGGTCGTCAGTGTGAGGGTGACATGGAGGAGATCGTGCCAGTTGAAAGAGATGAGAGATTATGACCAATCGTGGACCCAGTTGAAGAAGACAGCACCAAATAGAACAAAGTAGAGATGTGTTGTTGGGGCCCTACGTTCCACTCGGAACCCAAGGGAATAATAATATGTATACATAAATGCGATTGTACAGCTTCTTTTGAGAATGAAATCGCTGAAGAGATAGTTGGTCTTTGCTGAACTTCTTCTTGTTCTTTCCTCTCCAATATCCTGATAGGTTATTTTCCACAAATTTTATTTTTACGATTAACTCATTTAGTTTCGCGTTAATTAATTAAAAAAAAAGAAACACGGGTGTTACACAGACAAGCTTGTTAGAGAATAAATAGGAAATAAACAGGGATAATGAAGATTTGTGAAAATTAGGCGTCAAGTTACAAAAAAACAAAATGGAGGAATAAAAATACGAAAAGGAAGACGACAGAGTAGCACAGAGAAACAATGAAATCAGCTGATTAATCAACCATGAAGAAGCTTGTCAGGCTAACACTTACGATTACATAAAAGTTGACAAGTCCCTGAAGGAAGTAGACACACACACACAAACACATACAGACACTGAGAGACGTACATGTGCTTTCTTATCATGAAGAGAAATAATATATACATATATGTAAGTGAATGAGTTCAAAAGCTTTATACTATATTAGATAATACCACACACAGTGACGATGATGCAGTATTAACAACTGTTGGTATTAGATGGTTGGAGGCAATCGGCAGGAAGCCTTGGACCTAGGTTTCGTGCTAGTTGGCACTCACCAGTCAGCAAGGCGTATCTGCAACCTTGAAGGAATTGATGTCCCTTCTGAGATTCAAACCCGCGTCATCCAGTTCTGTAGTCAGAGACGTTACCACTGAGCTGCAGTGGTCTGCACCGAAGATAGGACTAGACACATTACACTAGTTACTGACTAGTGTGCAATCAAAAATATCCAATACAGTCCTACAGGAGGTCAGTGGTAACGTCTCTGACTGCAGCACTGGGTGACGCGGGTTCGAATCTCACAAGGGACATCAGTTCCTTCAAGGTTGCAGATACGCCTTGCTGATGAGTGCCAACTAGCACGAAACCTAGGTCAAGCAAGGCTTCCTGCCGATTGCCTCCAACCATCTAATACCAACAATTCACAGTGCACCGTAATGGCGAGCCACCTAGCATGGTGGCCACATTGCAAACATGACTGATAGAATTCAGTCTGCACCGAAGATAGGACTAGACGCATTACACTAGTTACTGACTAGTGTGCAATCAAAAAAGTATTAACAACTGGATGGCGAGATTTCACGCATAAATTATTCCTGCTCATAATCATATCAACTTTAGTCAGACTGTTTCATAATTCATAAAACACAAAGTAATCGAGCAAAGAGTATTCATAATTTGTCGTATTTCTCCACCTTGTTGCTTGTCGCCACTTTTCATATCTCTGGTATAGGCACTGCGTCACTTAGATGGCATGTGTGCCGTGTTGGATCGATGAACAAAGCTTCAATGACAAGGAAAGAAGATGGTACACTAAGAAGGAGTGTGTATAGGAAACCTACAACAAGTCAGGTCAGTACACTCATTTTTTGAGTTTTGTACCTTTGAAATATATGAACATAACCTGGTAAAGTGTCTGATTCATAGAGCCAGGTCAATCTGTTCAGACGACTGGCTCAATGAGGCGCTTAAGATTATTAGAGAATTACTTAGAAAAAATAGTTGTCTCTTACGTGAAAAGGATAATATCTAAATTTGCCTCCTCCTCTATGTGTGTGTATCTACCAGTTTGACTGCAGCTGCGAAGCCAGCTACATTGGGCGTACAATTAATCAGGCAGGTTCATCATCGTATTTCCGAACATCATCCAGCAAGGTTAAGCAAGAGACAAACAAGATCTATTCGTAGCTCTATTTTTGCACACCTTGTAGATAGTGAGCATAAAGTTGACGTTAATACTTCATTTAAAATTATTTATCGCATTCTCACTAATCTTAATTTTGCTCTACGAGTTCGTCTTCTACAGACAGCTGAAGCAATAGGAATCAACTTGAAGAAGCCAAACTTATGTGTACAGAAGAAAATTGTACAGCCACTTTCCTTGCCTTGGCCATCGTTACATGAATGTATAAACCGGACTACTTCGCCCCTCTCCCCCTAAACCTTTAAAAATTACCAATGTCCAAATTATTTTATTTTTGCTGACCACTTCATCTTTAATTACGTGCTATCTTTACTTAAAATTAATTTATTCTATCCATTTCTACCTTTTAATTTTGTGTATTAATTTTCTTCATTAATTATCACCCCATTGACATTTTGACACTGACTAATTATTGTTAACAAACATATCAGTGCCACTTGATTGGTAAACTGTTGTGTATTGTAATAAAAAGTGCTATAGGTGTATATTAGAGTAGAGCCAGAGAGAGATGAGGATCTAATTGAAAAGTAAATATTTCTTCGCTCAATCTTTCTGTTTTTTAAATGTCTTAATGAGGATTTTTTCTATAATAAAAGCTTCAATGATTGGCGTCTCTTCTCTCCGTATCTCTCCACCTAACTGTATTTCTTTGTAATACTCTCACCCTGTCCCACTCAACTCTGATTGACCCCGATCTACTAGTTTGACCCATATAATTGACATCACAGACATTACACGGTACTTGGTAAATTATGTGGTTTTTCTTAATTGGATCTGTCGGATCTTCAGGGCGTCATTTTTATTGTTTACCTTATGTTTTCTATGGATCTTCATACATTTCTGAATAAATTCTGGTGGGTAGTTCTTCACTAGTAATAACTCCCTTATTCGTTTGATTTCGTTATTTAAATCTTCTAGCTTACTAGTTAGGCTCTTGGCCTGATTATAAAGACATTTAACTAAACCTATATTTACCGATTCTGGATGGGGTGAATTAAAGTCGAAGTATTTATTAGCGTGAGTGTCGGTTTCCTATAAATGCTAGTACCTAACCCACCATCTAGTTTTTCTTTTATTCTACAGTCTAGCATTGCCAACTCACCCTATTTGTTTTCTAACTCAGAAGTAATCTCGATTCCGTTTAATACTGAGTTTATATGTGTGAAAAACTGAAAGATATGTTCAGATTTCAACACAATGAACGTGTCATCCACATATCTTCACCATAACCTAGGAGTAAAGGCTTCATAATAGGGAACTCACTGTATCAATAGATGAACCAAAAATGAGGCGAAAACGAATTCCATTATGACACACTTCTAACTAAATAACTAATCTGTGGATTATTTTATAGTGTTGCTGGTTCAGTGGTGGATAGAATGATCACCGGGCAGAAAAGCACGAAATTCCCAGTTCAATCCACCCCCACCGGGTGGACGCATTCCTAAACACTGTCTAGCTTACTTACGAGCTGGTTCTAAGTCCGAAAAACAGGGAAAGTTGAGTGAGACAAAGAGAGAGAGTGTGCATGTGGGTAGTAACTCCAATCCGTATTAGACACTTTGATTTGACACTAACTAGTATCAAGCATCAATCGCGAGCCCGAATAGTTCAGTAGTAACATCTCTGATTGCAGCACTGGATGACCTGGGTTCCTTCAAGATTACAGATACGCCTCACCGACTGATGAGTGCCAGCCAACAATCATGAAACCTAAGTGAGATAGGTTTCCTACTATTTCCACTATATGTATATATACATATATATTGATGTGGTTGTGTTCCCTGAGGCGGATAGTTAATTTGCGAAGCTTTCATCGCCCTACCAGGCAAAATCTTCAGCGCATACTTCAATTTGAAGTGAGCTTTTAGATTTCTCAACGAGTTTATTAATCACATCTCTCCTGGTGACCTTGGACGTGACTGGTTGTTTCTGTGTGTTTTCACATCCTCTAGGCTACTTTTACTGGAAATGATTGTTTCTTTGACTTGAACTTTGACACTTTGTGTGTGTGAGGTTTCTTTCTTATCTCGTCAACACTGGTCATTCCATCTCTACAAACGCCTCCTCCTTCAGAGTAATCTACAAAGTGAAGAACAACCTGCCAAAGAAAATACGTTTCCGTCTTCTTTGCATTGCAGAAGCCCTAGCTATTCAGTTGGAAGAACCAGAACTATGCATACAAAAGAAAGTTATTCCACCACTTCTACTCTCATGGTAACAACTCTGTTGATTTGACTTAACTTTGTTTGTATGCTTATTTTTTTCTAACTACTTAAAACCCTTGCGTAATTCCGTATGTTATTTTGTTTCTATGTACACCCTGAGCACAACTCTTTCATCAAACTATTCATGTTATTGCGTAACTCTTTAACAATCGTTTGTGACAACTCATAACTTTTGTTACTATCCTCTTATATCAACATCCAATTCATCTGAACTTACTAATTGTATTTTCCTTTGACAAATTTAATGTACACACACACATACAAAACAACCGTATATATTTGCGATTGTACAGCCATGAAAATGAATTCGCCTAAGAAAAGAGACTCTTCCCTGAACTACTGATCTTCTGTCCTTCTTATCCGTTGGTAAATTTTGTCTATCTCGATATGTCTATTGATTGATGATTCACTGGAATAGCAGGCAGCCTTCTAAAGATTCTCTAGCATTTTTGTTGTTTCCTCTGTCTAATATTTGAACGTTGCCCCAGTCGAATTGATGTCCGTGGTTGTCTGTATGAAAGCTTCGCAAATTAACTATCCAGCTCAGAGAGCACAACCACATCAAAATCATTCACCTAAGCTACAAATCTCCTCCATCATATATATATATATATATATATATATATATATATATATAGGCATTCTCAAATTGCTAGGAAGCGGCTAAAATGGCAATCAGTATTTTAAACCAATGGTTGCAGAGTACATCTCTTGATCGATTGACTGTAAAATTTCATCTTCTTCTTGCCTTGGTCCTGAGTTAATCATCGACCAATCAGAATATTTATTTTCCCTGGACCTAGTTGAATCGCCCAACCAATCAGAAAAGCCTATTTTTCACTGCCTTAGCTAAACTTTAATGTGGTTAGAAATATATACATAAATGATGTGCTTCTGTGCCTAGTAAAGTCGTGATCTAACAGTCACAGACAGACCAGCGTCTTTGTCTTTTGATATTTACGTAGCTCAGTGAAACGGAAGGTCCTGTATAAGGGACAGGACAGTTGTCCCCATTGTGTCAGTATTATTACACCCACGCATAAGTGGATACCCAATCATATCTACTGTAGACGAGATCTCACATTAATTGGAGACATATTCATAATAGAAATACGAAGAATTGCAAATGGATAAGAATTTCAGACATTTAAATACTACTTACCACCGCGTTTACGACGTGATTCTTTTCCAGACTCAATCATCTTAGGACTTTGAGGTCTAACACCGGCAGACACTGTCTGATCGGTACCACTGGTGGTGTTAAGATTTGTTATATTACCAGAGAATCCACCGGTCCCGGTAGAAGAATTACTTGGCACGCCTAAATTATTCAAACCATTTACAGAACCAGTTCTATCGGTGGGATTAAATATATCCAATGGTCCATCAATGCGAAGACAACGGATTGCATGGATTACGGTACCATCTGACAATGGGATTGATACAGATATACTCTCTTCATTATTTTTATTGTGAGCAGTGTATGGATATTTCTGTTGTACATCTACAGCTGGTTTATCTTCTTCTAAAAAGTAAAAATAGATACAGAGAGAGGGAGAGAAATTTTATGAATAATAAAGACCGAATCCTATCAGACACAATAAGGATGTCGCAGGTCAATTAAGCAATACAAAACAAATGACAAACATGATGACAATATGCTTGAACTTAACAACAAAAAGAAACAATGATCACAAGATTTCATCATGAGCTGACATCGGCTGGAGAACCATTGGAAAATCAGCACTCGAGTACTGGACAGCTGTTTCATCAAGTTAGTACGCACCACCGGGTTTCGAACCCAGGACCTCCCAGTTACAAGATAAGCTCGCTGAGCATTCAGCCACTGCGAGTCTATGAATTTTAACTTCTACCAATTCGTGACGAGTATTTGTCCTCATTCCTGACCGGATGGATCCTACTAGGCATGACTTCTAAATAGAACTCCAGGCAACCCGGTGAGTGCGAGCTGCCCGATGAGTCTCAGATTAGGCTGACGAAACAACTGTCTACTACTCCACGGTTGGTTCTCTAACTGGTATCAATCCATGACCAAACTTGAAGTTAATCCTGTCTGCCTGTCTGTTTTCGACATAGAACTTTGCATCGATGTGCGGCAGTTCAAGTCCCCACACTCCCCACATGTAGCACACAAAAAAGAGAAGAAAGTAGGAGAAATGCATAATATAGACAGTAAACAGAGGTGTGAGACAAAGTAATAGTAATAACGGAGAACAAAACAGTTTAATTGGAAAACATAAGTCACAGGGAGTGGATGCATCTGTAACAGCCATTGAGAACGACTTTGAGCCATGTCACCAATTGTTTCCAACCATTGGTTTTTACCGTCCCGAGGACCCCAACCAGTCAGGAAGTCTACACCTTCCTACATGGCTTAGACTAACTGTTGTGGATTTCATTGACTGGTGCCATGTTTTCGTTTGACCGCCGCTAGTTCTTTCCCAGCCTGACCCTACGTCAGCTAACATTGTCCGCTGGTCGAGGAAGGCGATGACTAGGCATACCGAACACATGTCTTAACCACCTCAGTCGATGTAATTTCACAGTCTCGTCGACTGATTTCCCCACCTTACCTAGCACTCGACGCCTAACCTCAATATTGCTCACCTTATTATACCACTTCACACGAGAGATAGAACGCAGACACCTATGATCAAAGACAGCCAGTCTTTCCATGTCTTCTACTCTCAATGGCCAGGTCTCACAGCCATAAAGGAGGACGGAGCGGACTGATGAGCAGTACACACGCCCTTTGGTCGATAGCCGGATATCACGTCTACGCCAGAGACGGCGTAAACTGGCATATGCGAAACTAGCCCTCTGAAGCTAATCCTATTTCAGCTAAGATTGCTCGTCGAGGGATACAACGGATTAACATCTGTAAATCGCTGTCCTCCCTCCCCCGAACTAGCCATCTCAATCAATATAGCTTCACAACCTCATCCATTGGTTTCCCTTCCTGAGCATAACCTCAACAATTACTCTCCAACTAGTAAAGAACACCGTAAAAAATATGAAACTGTCATCCTAACTAGCGGAAGTGAAACAATTTAAACAACAATAAAAAAAGTTGCATTTATTATATTTGAATCACTCACCAAACCAACGAACATGTGCATCGGTAGTGATTTTATGCGGTAGAAAGCGTAGACTTGAAGATGTTGTCAGCTTGTCAGTATTTGAATAAAAAACGTCAACAGTCGATACAGCCGGTTTCGTATGATAAGAATCATTGGTTAACTGATTAGATAAATTAAGCGATGATTGTTGATGTTGTTGTTGTTTGTGTTTTTGTAGCTGGGAATTATTGATATTCAATTGGTGTTCAATGGTTATACTAGACGGTTCAGTCAATGGTCTGGCTGTTTTACTTCGTTTTAATGAAGAAACACGACATTTTTCATTCTTATTATTATTACTACTAATACTGCTATTAGTAGTAGTTGTTGTTGTCGTGGGGGTGATAATGGAAGAACTGTTGGCCACACTGACATCGTCGTGATAAATATTGGCTGGAGAAGTTTTGCTGGAATTTATCGATTTATTGTCAACAGTAAGATTGGACAGCTTAGAAGTTAAATATTCTTTTCCTGTTGTCGACTGCTGACACGGATGATGACTGTGATGATGATGATATTGATGATGTAGCTGAAGGTTTTCGTCTTCTGCATACTTTACATTCTGAAAGATAAGAAGACACTTTTATTTTCATCTAAGCATAAAGTAAGAAAAAGTTTCTGAAAGGTATAATGTTGAAATAATAGAGAAGATTTGTAGCTCAGGTGGATGATTTGCAATTAATAGTGTTCTCTGAGCGGGTTGGTTTAGTTGCGGAGCATTCGTCGTCCTTCTGGACAACATCTTCAGCGCCATATTTAGCACAAAGTGAAATGATTTAAATTTCTTCATGAGTGATATAATTGCGTCGCCCGGTAACCATCTTTACATATGTATTGATAATTTTCTTTTGACTCGGATTTTAAACTTTCTGGTCACCTGATTTACTTTATATTAGTTGGTATATTTCGTCTATATTAACGTGTTTGTTAATTGCATTTTCGTTTGAGTACCAGCCTTCTAGGAATTCCTTGGCACTTTTGGTGTTTTCTTTGTCTAAGATTTTGACATTATCCCAATCAAACTGATGTCCATAATTGTCTATGTGCATTGATACTAAAGAATACATATTGTGTCTTTTCACGGCTGAATGGCCAGTTACATAGGCCGTACAATTAGGCGTGTTTCTCGTCGAATTTCCGAACATCACTCTGCGTGGTTAAGCAAAGGACAAACAAAATCTATTCGCAGCGCTATTCTGTCTCATCTTGTGGAGACAGAACACACGATTGACGTTAACCATGCTTTCAGGGTAATTTACCGCATACCTACGAACCTCAATTTTGCCTTAAGAGTTCGACTACTGCATAGTGCTGAGGCTGTGGGGATCCGTACTAACAAGCCTAATTTATGCATCCAAAAGAAGTTAGTTCAGTCATTATCATTACCTTGGCCATCCAGGTTTGAATAATCCAGAATTTTTGTGGAATTTTCCTAATTTTAGTTGATATTCTATTTGCTACTATATCTTTATTATTATTATTATTGTTATTATTATTATTATTTAAGCATCTTTAATGAACTGTAATTCCATTGTGATCATAGTTTACAAATCGATATTATTTAAAAAAACGCTAATATTGTTATTAACTACTAATCTAGAATATTCTGTGTATATAAACATATAGATATATAATTGTAGAGCCTGGAAGAGGAATTAATCGAAAAGGATATTCTTTGCTCAATTATTTTGTGTTTTATAGATTTCTGAATGAATATTTTTGCTATATTGATATCTATATCAAAAGGTTTCAGTATTCTAGCTGTTATTTCAGAGATATTTCTCATGTATGGTAGGATGAATTTTCTTGTGGTCTTTGATGATGGTTTCTTGTTGGTGTTTTGACTCAATTTTAAACACTCATGAGACAACTTTTTGTCTCAAGGTAAAACGTTTGGAAAATCGAAAACCAATCCGAAGAAGAGTTTATTATCCGCTGACCACCTGGCCGACCTTTAAAGCGGTTAGGAACGTGTAAATACAGTATGTCTTTCATCAATAAAAACGTCCTTTGCCGAGTCTTTTGTCTTCTTCTGATACAATAGAGTAAACTATTAGACTGGATGGTATAGAGACGACTTGAATGAAGCTTTTTCCTTGCTTTGCATTCCTATTTCAAGTATTTTTAGAAGTTTCAGTAGCTGTGGTGTTCTCACGCGGTGAGGAGGTAGCTACCTAATCATGCCTAGCCTACCCTCTTTTCCAGGCTCAATATCAGCTAATTAAACTAACTAGACGAAGTTTAGGAAAACTTCAGACGAGAATCATCAAACCCAGTCTTCGGTCAGGGCTGTAGAGCATTCTACCATTCAGCCAACGACGCAAAGGGACAAAGGTTAAAAAAGGAAATTATCACTGCTCATCTTAATGGCTCAAATAACCGTCGCAAAGACTTGGTCCAACCTAAAGACACTGTTAGTGAGGCACATATTGGTACAACCTCAGTAAGAAATACAAGAACAGTTGTCTAAGGGTTTGCATCTCAGAAGGATAATCTTGTTGGCGTTAAATGGTTAGAGGAAATCAGCGGGGAAGCCTTACCTCACCTAGGTTTCGTGCTTATTGGCACTCACCAGTCAGCAAGGCAGGTATACCTGCAATCTTGAAGGAACTCATGTCCCTTCTGAGATGTGAACCCATGTCACCCAGTGCTGCAGTCAGAGACGTTACCACTGAGCTATTCGGGCTCGCGATTGACCTCCTGTAGGAATGTAGTGGGTATTTTCACTGGACACTAGTAACTAGTGTGAATCTAGGGCTATGATAGGAGGTAGTCTCACCAACATATTCGATTAGTGTCATATTTCAGTTTGAAAATACCCCCGCCCCACCACGCTCTACTCCATGAATCTCTCCCATGTTTAATTCTGCTTTAGATAACATTGCTCGTACAGGAAAGCGAAGACAAAGTAAATGTAACATATGCTACAGACACTTCAATCGATAAAGAGTCATAACCTTCATTATCTAAACAATTTAAACGTCTCACTTTAATAGTATTTACAAAACTGTTCACAGCCGGATATGAACGTTTCTACGACGACACCTGTGATTAAAAATCTATAGTCTCTTTTCATAACACCTACTTTTAGTGACCAGCTCAACATTGTCAAGAACAGGGTGAATAAACATGCTTTTTGATAGGTAATCGGATAGTCCTATTTTTGTTTGGAAAACATTGGACGATTTCTTGTTTACACCGGCTGAGATTCCTTTAGCAGCTAATCGGCTGAAACTGATCATCATCACTACTTAATTAAAATAAGTAGTTGATTCAGACAAATCCCAAAGCATCATCATCACCAAACATTTAACAGAGGCTAAGTACTAGTAGCAAGTCAACAACTGACAGACTAAAACCAATCAAAGGAGCATAAACAGTTACGTCCACAGTAGAGAGAGAACTAAATCAAAATGCTACGTTGGGGGATCGCTGTTGAACGCCACTACTGGTTATCATTATCACTAAATACCCTATGGGAAATTTCCTCGTTAGGTGTCACACGACTACGTGAACTTGTGCAGTACGCCTTGATTAGCAGAATAAGCCTAAAAGGTTCTTAACTAACCAAGCTATAATGCCATTCTTAAGCCAACTTATATATATCACGCATGTATCAGACACCGATAAGTTTGCACTTCAAGGGCTATACAACGAGTAAAGATGTTCAAGCTTCAAAGCTTGCCTGCTTTTCTGTGACAGTTTTATATTTGAGCCCTATTTTATTATGAAAACTTGACCAACTAAGCTAACTCGCCGGTGTCATCACATCTTGTTTCGATCACTCTCAATTTTCCAAAGTAATCTTCCTCGGCAAGGGTGATATATATATATATATATTGCATGGAGGATTTCATCGTGAGCTGACATCAGTTAGAGAACCAATGGAAAACCTGGGAGTACTGGACAGCTGTATCGTCCTGGTTCGGTACTCTTCATCAGTCAGTAAGCACCCACCGGGGTTCGAACCCAGGACCTTCTGTTAACAAGGCGAGGTCGTAGACCATTGAGGCACTGCGACCCGATCCAATGATCCTTGAATTCTAACTTCTGCCAATTCATGACATAGCGCGACCATTTCGCAATGTCTTCTTCGATGAGTTACTGCCTCATCTTCAACCTGCTGTGCCCTACTGGTCACGGCTTCCCACTAGAACCCCGGGTTAACTGCCTTATATATATATATATATATATGTCATGTTTGTAATGTAGCCACCATGCCCCTAGGTGGCTCGCCACCACAATGCCCTCAGAATTGTTGTTATTATGACATGGTTAGAAGAAATCGGAACGAAGCCGTACCTCACACCTAGGTTTCGTGATTGTTGGCTTGTTGGCACTGAACAGTCACCAAGGCAAGCGTATGTGAAATTTTGAAGGGACTCATGTCCCTCCTGGAAATCGAACCCATGTCACTCAGTGCTGCAGTCAGTCAGAGACGTTACCACTGAGCTACTTTATTCTAACCATCTAATAACAAAAATTTAGAGTGCACAGTGATGTCGAACTACCTAAAATGATGGTCACACTACAAACCTGATTGAGAGAATTCGGTCTGCAGCAAACAAAGGACTAGAAGCATGATACTGAGTGAGTGAGTGACTGACTGACTGCTATCAACGTAGAATTTTGCACAGAAGTGCACCAGTGCGAGTTGCCATACTCCCTTCATGTAGCACACAAAGCAAGAGAAAAGGGTAGAGGAAGATTCAAAACAGAAATAAAAAACACAACTGTGCTGCAAAAAGAATAGTATTGTGGAAAAACAATAGAATTTTATTGGATATTATAAATCACAAAAGTGGATGCATCTGCGCTGTCAATGACAACAATTTTGAGGCATATCACCAATTGTATCCAGCCGTCATTGGTTCTTACCATACCACGGACTCCAATCAGTCAGCCAGCCAGCCAGGCAGTCTACACCTCCCTACGTGGCTGGCTTAAACTAACTGTTGTGGATTTCATTGACTGATGAAGCCATGTTTTTGGTTTGACCGCCATGTGCTCGCTCTTTTCCAACCTCATTGATCCTATGTCACTCAACACTGCCCGTCGAGGAAGACGATGCCTAGGCTAAGCATATGTAACACATATCTTAACCATCTCAATCGATTTAACTTCGCAACCTCGTCTATTGATTTCCCCTCCCACCTAGCTAGCACTCGACGCCTAAACTCAATATTACTCACCCTATTACACCTACAACCTAACACGTGAGACAGAACGCAGGCACCTATGATCAGTAACAACTAGCGTTTTCATGTCTTCCACTTTCAGTGGCCATTTCTCACTCATATTCAACCATGAAGGCGGGACGGAGCGAATTGCTGAGCAGTACACACGCCCTTTGGTCGACAGCCGGATATCACAGATATCTACGTCTACTAGTTACTAAGTAGTGTTCAATACAATCCTACAGGAGGTCAATCACGAGTCCGAATAGCTCAGTGGTGACTTCTCTGACTGACTGCAGCACTGGGTGACACGGGTTCGAATCTCAGAAGGGACATGAATTCCTTCAACATTGCAGGTATGTCTGTCTTGCTGAGTGGTGAGTGCCAAATAACTAGCATTAAACCTGGGTAAGGTAAGGCTGCCCCGCTGACTGCCTCCAACCGTCACCTTGTATCTGCTGTTAAAACTCCACCCAGCTGTAGCAAACAAACAAATTTCGACCGAAAGCTGCTACCTTGACGTGGTGGTCGGGCTTGCACACTGCAATGACCCAACAAGCTACACTGGCTGGAACTATTGTTCCTGCAGGTCCTACCATGCCAGGAAGGTTGTTAGGATAGCGATTAGACTAAAAGCAGTTACCAGCATAGTGTAAGAATTTTTTTACACTATGCTGGGGGTCTGTGGGCGAAGTCGTACTGCTGGGAAACAGGGATGTAACAGCAGTAAGGTGTTTCCCTCAGATGACCAGCATCCCAGCCAGTTATGCTGTCTTTCCACTCTGGAGACAGGCGGTTAGAAAAGATTGACTCCAAAAATTGTACATCCCCGCTTACCCTACGTTGGTCCATAACCGGTGGTAAGTTTACTAATACGGAACCAAACCAAGAAACCAGTTCATACAGGCCGTGGTGACGACTAGTGGTGTCCGTCAGGGATGCCCATTATCCCCATTTCTATTCAATTTCGTTATAGATGTACTAATGGACTTAACCTAACTCACTTCAGAGACTCAGGGATTGACTTGCTACCAGGGAATAATCTCGTCGACTTAGAATATGCAGATGATATAGTCCTTCTAGGCGAGGACGCTGACAAAATGCAGAGTCTTCTGAACATCTTGAGCTGCAATCTAAGAATGCTTGGCATGCGATTCGCTCCCGCCAAATGCAAGATGATTCTACAGAATTGGACTACACCGAACCCTAGATTAGAAATAGGAAGTGAAGTGGTAGAGCACGTTGACCACTTCACTTACTTGGGAAGTACCATCAGCCAGTGCCAACGGGTTGATCTCTGACGAAATCTCAGTACGAATACAGAGGGCTAGTTTCGCATATGCAAGTTTACGCCGTCTCTGACGTAGACGTGATATCCACCTATCGACCAAAGGGCGTGTGTACTGCTCAACAGTCCGCTCTGTCCTCCTTTATGGCTGTGAGCGAGACCTGGCCACTGAGAGCGGAAGACATAAAAGACCGGCTACCTGTCTTTGATCATAGGTGGCTGCGTTCTATCTCTCGTGTGAAGTGGTATAATAAGGTGAGCAATATTGAGGTTAAGCGTCGAGTGCTAGGTAGGTGGGAGGGGAAATCAATCGACGAGACTGTAAAATTACATCGACTGAGATGGTTAGGACATGTGTTACGTATGCCTAGTCATCGCCATCCTCGATGGGCAATGTTAGCAGACATAGGGTGAGGCTGGAAAAGAGCTAGCGGCGGTCAAACGAAAACATGGCACCAGTCAATGAAATCCACAACAGTTAATCTAAGTCACGTAGGAAGGTGAATACTTCCTGACTGATTGGGGTCGGGTTGGTAAAAACCATTGGCTGGAGACAATTGGTGATATGGCTCAAAATCGTTCTCAATGGCTAGTGCCGATGCATCCACTCCTTGTGACTTATGATTTCAAATGAAACTATTTTGTTCTTCGATATTACTATTCTTTTTGCCTCATACCTCTGTTTACTGTCTCTATTATGCATTTCTTCTGCTTTCTTCTCTTGCTTTGTGTGATACATGGAGGGAGTGTGGCGACTTGAACTGCCGCACATCAGTGTAAGGTTCTATGTCGAAAACAAACAGACAGACACAAACAAATTAACCTACATACGATATCATGACAAAAATGATCAATATCAGATAAGATTATATACCACTAACCTGTAGCTGCTCATTTCTTGATGATAATAACACAGATGAATTATTTTGATCAGATAGATTACAAGAATCCACAGGGATATTTTCTGTATTTTCTGTACAAATATGTTCTGTATACATTGTCTGCTGTTGTTGTTGTTGTTCATTTTGAATTTGATATTGTATTAAATCAGTCAGTGTAGAAACCATAAGATCTCTGGCATTCTGATCTGTACAAGCTAGTGATATTTGACAAGGTGGTGTAAAATCCATACTAGTGGAATTTGGATCTGATTAAGAAGAACGGAAAAAAAGACAAATTCCACAACAGAAATTAGAAGAAAACATCTCTCAAGTTTGATCACGGAATTTATTCAATTAGAGAACCGCTGAAAACCAGCACTCGAGTACTGGACAGCTGTTTCTTCAGCCTAGAGTCTAGGGCTCATCGGCAGTACGCACCCACCACCCGGTTTCGTGCCCAGGACCCTCCCGGTTACGAGTCAGGCTCGTAGACTATTCAGCCATTCAGAAGCGACACAATGACCAGCCCATCAATTCTAACTTCTACAACATTCGTGACTGCTTTTAGCGCGACTGACATCAACCAATGTCATCGATCTCTGGCGAGTATTTGTTCTCACTCTCGACAGAATGGACCCAACACTGGTCACTAGAACTCCAGGCAACTTCGAATAGGTAGAGGTTAGAATTCATAGGCTGGCGGTCGGTCACTGCCGGGTCGGATCCCAGTGGCTGAATTGGTCTACGAGCTAGCTTGACTTGTAACGGGGAGGTCCTGGCTTCCAGCCTTGGAGGTAGGTGTATACTACCGATGAGAGTCGCAAACTAACCTGACGAAACAGATGTCCAGTACTTAACTCCAGTGCTTGTTTTCAATGGTTTTCTAACTGATATCATGAGATATCGGATGAAAAAGAAAATTTTGCAGGATAGTATTACTACAATTGAAAATACATATGGGCTATGGAATTTTATATTTAAGTGAATACTATCTTACCTGAAACTAGAAGATCCAAATCTGTTTCACTTTCAGTTGAACTGACCACAGTTAGACAATTCAGTGGGATCTTAGTCTGTTCACACAAGTAGGCAAGGAGAAAAGAAAAGTGGTTTATTATTATTATTATTTAAATTCAATATTTGAGGCGGATTATTTAATTATTTTCAATTGTTATTTGAAGTTTTTTTCAAATAGATGATTAACAGGATCTGAAAATATATGATCCGGCCGATAACTGCTACCTTGTCCTGGTGGTCGAGCTTGCATATCGTAGTGACCCAACAAGCCTCACTAACTGGAACTTATTTTCATGCAGGTCTTACCATACCAGGAAGGTTTCTTGGATAGCGATTAGACTAAAAAGCAGTTACTGTGGTGTACATAAGCTGCAGAATCCAATCGGATCGAATGGGGTATGAACCTGCATTGGTCACCGGTAACCGTGCGAATGTAGCTCCTGACGCTGCCTCGCTGCCTTGTGAATAAGGCTTCAGGTCGGAGGATGGGAAGGGGGCTGTCCCAGGGCAGTATCTCAGACCTCGCAGTAACAATGAAATAACAACTCGTAAGGAAGACTACTGAGGACATTTATCCTTTGGTTCATCATATTAGTATGTATATGATTCTCGTGTATCAACTTGATTATTTAACACATTTTTACTCTATATTATTTTTATTTGTCCTGGGAATGTAGGTGACACTGAATTAATGTGAAAAGTCAGCTAATTATGAGTTACACAGAATACAAAACAATAAAATATTGATTAAGCTAAAACAAACATGATTTCAGTCCATTAGAACATGGACTAATCGTCGAATTTGCATAAAGATCGATGACAATTCTGGTTGGTAGTGGCAACAACACAACTGACGAATAATACTATAAAACCTTTACCAATGCGAAAATGTATTCCTTACTTTCTAACATGAGCATAGGGCATCTCAGCAACATATCTCCATTGCATTTAATCCTTTGCCATCTCATCCGAATGGTTTCACGGTTCCCTACAAGGCTTCATTCCACCCCCTCCCCGCAATGATCGCCTTAAGAACACCATTGGACATCCAACCAATCTTTTGCCATTCGGAAGCCTAGAGTGTGATATCACTTGAAGATCTCTTTAGCCTCCGTCCAAGACACCTCTATTGCTTTCTGTATACTGGTTGGGGAAAAGGTTTTTGGTTGGTTCGCTACCCGACACAGTCCCTTACTGCTTATCACCCCTCAGTGTCTGCTATTTGATCTACAACAGGCACCTATTGATGAAAGTCTAAAAGCCTGTTGAAAAGGCTATTGCTAGCGATTGATGCTTATTTTTGTTGACTAGGTATTTTCGTCGCTTCAGTCTTCTCTATGTTCCCCCGAAGTTATATCTTCGCTGCCAATTTAATCCACGTAAGGGTTTTCCCTTGTGAATCTTCGAGTTTTTCCAACATCGAGACATAAATTCTCTGTAAAATCAAGATATTCTTGGGGCCTTTCATCAGTCAAACGTTTACCCATCTCCTCACAAATGAATATTAGCTCCATGATTTAATCAACGACAGTCGGGAATATCATTGACGATATTAGGTAGCCTTGTCTTAACTGCTGTCATCACTTCAGCAAACTTCCCTTTGTAGATCCCTTGGTACGTACCAGCATTATACAGCTGTTGAATAAGGTGTATAAATGTTTGTGGCATTCTGTAGTGTTGAAAAAGTTTTCAAATTACTTTATGGTCGACGCTGTTGAAGAGCTTTCCAAAAGTCGATGAAATTGAGCTAAAGATCTGTTTGTCATTCTAGACTCATTTAGACAAGTTGTGATGTTGCGACTTCATGCTACTCCAGTTTTTGCATAGGCTTATACCTTTATTTAACAACTTTACATGAAAGCCTCTATTCGAATCGACAGGTTCCTTCTCTCTCTCTCCCACCAACGGCTTCTGAAGTAGTGAAGTGAGAGTGTCTTCTAAATCTGCTAGCAGTGATTTCCATTCCTTCAGCCTTTAGTAACTTTATGACCTTCAGGATTTCCACTTTCGTCAAGGGGTCACCGTCCACCAGTTTTCCTGTTTTTTCTGGCAGTATATACAGACGAACTGTAGGTGGTAATCACTTCAAGAGCCCTCTGAAGTGATTAGCTCAAAATGTTAGTGACAAGAGTATGATAGCCACAATCTTAGTGTGATTGTAGTTGCTGTCTAGATGACCTCATTGGATTAATGACTCAGCGAGTCCACTTCCATTCTATTTGCTCTCACAGATTCCTAATACTTTTACGCTACATCTGATTTATTCTGCAATTTGAGCAGCCATATCACTCTCAAACATGGTGCAGACTTTTCATGCTCCAATGCTCACTTCGAGAAAAATCACACAATCAAACTGGCTTCCATAAGGCTTTAACTCACTGGAGAAATCTGCTCTGGAATTGAGGAAACCTCCCAATTCTAGAGCAGAATAAGTCTGAATTTTCAGTAGCGATGAGGTTGTTTTCTTAGTGAGGTGAAGTTGCTAAGTGCACACACACAACCTGCACTCTTTTTCAGATTTAGAACCGGTTAGAAAACAGGGTCGGGTAAATGGATACCTGTAAAGTAACTGTCATTCCATAAAAAATTTGTTTTGTAAGTAAATACACGTATATATCTTTATGAGTTAGAAACTTGGTCATCGCGTCACCAATTGCATTTCCGACAGACTACAGCAGACTTTTATCTCAACAGCTAACTTCACCAGCAGGCTCCATGTTGAAGATCAAATGGCTGGCCAAAAACAAAATTAACAGAGAACAGGGAACTCTGGGAACGCACCAATCAAGAACCTATTGCTCAGCAAATATGTAGAAGAAAATGAAGATGGATCGGGAGGACACCAATGAGGAGACCGTCAAAATGACATCGCACGACATGCCATCGCTCGAGTGGAACCCGAGTAGGAAACGACGAGTTGGACTTGGTTCTGAGGCTGACATGTTGTAGATCGTGAGACAAGGAGATGAGAGACTATGTGGAATCGTGTGGACAGGAGAAGATGACTCCTGAGAATAGGTCAAAGCGGAGATGTAGTCCTGAAGCCCTATGTCCCACATGGAACCCAAGGGAACAATAGTAATAATAATGATCCATTTTGTTTCAAATGTCCAGGACCAATATTTTAAAATGTAATTGTAGAACCTAATGAGAATTTCCCGAAAATACGTATTTTGCTTGCTTTATTCGTATTCTGAAATGGGAACACTTTAATTTATATATGTCCAAACCAAATTCACTTTTAACAGTTTGAAAAAATGTGGGCATTAGGCATATGATATTCACTAAAGAACAGGCCTTCTTGTATTTCCCCAAAAATGAAAAATAAAACGGTGTTGTCTTTTGGTTACAGGATTTCATCATGAGCTGACATTGGTAAGAGAACCACTGGAAAACCTGGGAGTACTGGACAGCTGTTTCGTGGGAAGTCGTGACCAGTAGGGTGCAGCAGGTCGGGTGTGAAGACAGATCCTCACCGAAGACATTGGCTAGCCGTCGCGCTATGTCGTGAATTGGCAGAAGTTAGAATTCATGCACTGGCCATTGGATCGGGTCCCAGTGACTTAATGGTTTACAAGCTCGCCTTGTAACCGGAAGGTCCTGGGTTCGAACCCCGGTGGTGTGTGCATACTAATGAAGAGTCCCAAACTAGCCTGACGAAACAGCTGTCTAGTACTCCAATGCTGGTTTTCCAATGGTTCTCTAACCAATGTCAGCTCATGATGAAACCCTCAAACCAATCAATCAAATCCCTACAAACCAATACTTGGATATTGTCTTTACTGACATTTCGCTATTTAATGCTGCTAATAGCTTTATCAGAGTAGTAATTTAAAAGCAGAATTTACAAAATCCACTCAGCTTATATATAACAAATTTAACCATCGTTCCTCAGAATGGGGTCATTTTTGCGTTGTCACGTTGGCCAATTGGTAAAGATAACAAAACCAGGTGTAGATTGTTGGATTTGATGAGTGTGTTAAAATTAGAAAGGGCAGTGTGTGTGTTTACACAGAGAACTTGCATATCACATTCGTGTTGATTTTGTTATTTTATGAGGGTAGGAGAGGGGGGTGTTGTAACCAGATCAAATTCTGTTTTCCTCCATCATTCATATTCGGTTCAGACAATTTGGATTCTGACGTTAGACGTTCTTTGTGATTTCTGAAATATTCTTCTGGATGATGATTTGAATATTGTCAAAATCAGTTTGTGTGACCTATGGCTGATGGCTTTTCAAGCTTTTCTGGTTCACCAACTGGATTTCTTGGTGGTTGAACAGATGCTCTACGGTGTTCATCATTTCTTCTGATTACCTTGATTTCTCTGTGGTGAGGTTTGTCCTATGTACATCGCATCACATTTCAAGCATTTTATTTAATACACACAATTAGATAGAGAATCCTTCGGGGTAAAGCTATTAGCAGCAGTATTAAATAGCAAAACGCCAGCAAAACAGAACAATATCGTTTTGTCCTTTTCATTCATTGGGAAATACAAAAAAAACCTTTATTATAATGGGAACACGTCAACTTTGTACACACACTTGTATATATATATAAAAGAGAGAGAGAGAGAGTTGAGAACAACTTACAGTATAATCGTAGACATTGGGTTGATTTGTTTTCGCCAACAGGAGGACGCATGCAGGAAATACAACCAGCAAGGATAATTGTGTCTTTCTTAGCAAAGATTCTGTACTAATAAAATCTGGTAACGCTTGTGATTGATCTATGTGTACACTGACTAGTAGTACGCGTAGAGTGAGGATTGGATCACCAAGTTGTTGGATAGGCTGGATTGATTTGGTGCAGAGGTATAATAAAATAACAATAATAAAAACAATAAATTGATTGACAACAAAACTTACAATGAACTCAAGTCAAAAGGTGGACGACTCCCATTTATGTACGGTCTACCAAAAATCCATAAGGCCAATGTGCCCTTAAAACCCATACTATGAATGATAAACTCACCACGCCACAAACTAGCTCGATGGCTATCTGATTCATTAAAGCCAATTCAACAGAAATTAGCAAATCATAGCTTGGATGACACCTTCCAATTTTCTAAAGAAGTCGATCACGTTGACATATCCAATAAACTAATGGTGTCATACGACGTGACTGCCTTATTTACAAATGTACCAGTGATGGAAACAATAGACATCATTTGTAAACAAACAGATCTATTGCCAATACCGGAGTCAGAGATGAAACGACTACTAATTCTTTGCACAAAAGACATCCACTTTAGATTCAATAGCCAATTCTACCGACGAATTGATGGGTTCGCCATGGGTTCACCTCTAGGACCCATTCTAGCAGACATCTTCATGGGCTATCTCGAACAGATGCGACTGAGTGACGCTATCAATGAAACAACATACTACCGTCGATACGTTGATGATACTTTTGTTGTTTGTAACGACATGAGTCAGGCATCCGTATTATTTGACCGCCTAAATGAAATCCACCCAAACATTAAATTCACCCTGGAATACGAACACAACGATGAGTTCAATTTCCTGGACCTAAATCTAAAAAGAAGAGACGATGGAACGGTCGAAAAGTCCATCTACAGAAAAGAAACTTGGACCGGACAATACCTTCACTACAACATCTTCTGCCCTATAAACTATAAGCGGGGATTAGTAAGGACACTGTACGACAGGGCCAGGAAGTTATATTCGCCCAACAAGGTAGAAGAAGAATTAAGCTTTGTTGAAAAATGCCTCAAGAAAAACAGGTATCCAAAAGGATTTACCCTAAAGTACAGCAAAGAAAGAGAAGTATCCAACAGTTGAAAAGAAGAAAGTGTTCATTTGCCTCCCATACAAAAGAAAAAAAGTATCGCAAAAGATTGAAAAGAGGATGAAAGGAACAATAAAGAGATGCTTCCCTGCAGCCAATCTGGTGACACTATACAGTACTACATGCTCTATAAGCCAATCAAAACTGGATAAGTGCCCTGCTGATGTTACCTCCAACTTCATTTATACATTTACGTGCACCTGAGGCAGCAAGTACATTGGAAGGACAGAAAAAAGGGCTTCTATCCAGTTTTCACAGCATATTCCGAGAAACTTATGCTTAAAAGGAAGCAGATATTTACAAAGTGCAATTACCAGACACCCTGTGGATACAGGTCATTTTGTCGAGATTTCCAAATCCTTCAAAATACTAAACATACAAAGGACAGCGAATCTACTACGATTTACTGCTGAAGTAATTGCAATCCAACGTCTCAGACCAAACTTATGCACACAGAAAAAGAGTGTAGTCAATCTCTCACTACCTTGGTAACCATATCACTTTTATTACACTGATTACTCATGCACAATAGTGGGCTCAACTCACTAAGCAAGTTTTCGAATTGATGAACTTTGACCTTGTTGAGTTCCCATGTTGACACTGTTTATTAGATTTTTTAGTTTTCTCTCACCCTCTCTTTTTCTTTTTTCATAGTTTGATAGTATATAAATTGACGGTAACTTAAACTAAAAATTGTAATACTCATATTTCGGATGCGTTCATCTCATAGTGTTTTCTCTATTACCTTTCAAACATTGAAGTATGAAATGTTATTATTTAGAACCATTGAAATTTCAGGTAGTTTGCATCTGAGGAGAACCTGTGAAATAGAATGATATTATTTTATACTGCAAATCTGGTCTTTCTTTCTCTATCAAAATTTATCAAGGGAACCAAATGTATGAAATAATAACAATCTACGGAATATAGGGATAGAATAATTGAGGGATATCTCACCAAGAAAGCAAGTAAGCATACTTGTCAAGAATGTTGAAAAGATGCTTCACATGACTTCATGTTACTTTCAGAAAGAGGTGAAAGAAGCAGACTGTAGCATGGTTCATCATTAATTACAATTCTCATCCAGATCTGACTGATAACTTCTTGATCTATTGATTCGAATTATCTGTCGGACTCCATTATACAGAGGGAGTCGTAATGCCTAACACAGATATCCTTCATTCCATGGCACGATGGTCATACGCAGATATCATCACCTCCTCTCTACGTTTTGCCAACAGTTTTAGGGCAACGAAACAGCAGTGAGCCGCCTCTAGATGGAGCTTCATATCCACCAGTCCAGTTATAAGCACCGGATAGGAAGTGTTGCAAGATTCACTCGCTTTTTATTTTCTCACCACTAAGGAGTTTTTTAATTCGTGGAAAATCCCCACTGTAGTATTTAGAAAATCAAAACAAATGATTCAGCGAAGAGACTCTTTTCAACGAATTTATCATCAAGCTATACAATCGTATATATATGGATTGTTTTTAAGAAGTTATATCCCGTGAGGGAATTGAAACATAGGTGTGAATGCATAAAATAATAATAATATGAAATGCAATTAAAACTAAAATGTTTGTGATTATAATCGTAGTTAAATGTCAAGTGGCAAAGCAAATTAATGTCATATATAGAATAATTCATAGGATGGATAGAACTTGAAATTGAAAAAGGGTGTGCAATTATAAGATTAGTAGACAAATCGAATAAAATAAAAACGTTACGTAATATGTGTGTATATCAATTCACCTGCTCGTGTGGAGTTAGGTATATCGGTCGTTCGACACGAGTTTTGTCCAAGAGGGTGCAAGAACACTATCCCGTATGTTTACGAAAAGGTGGAAGTGGAGCAATAATAAGTGCGATCATTTAACATCTGGTAGATAATGATCACCCTATCTCTATAGCCTCCGCCTTCAAAGTCATCTACGAGGCAAAGAGTAATCTACCCAAATCCCTACGTACCCGACTCATCTGTATTGCTGAAGCTTTGGCTATCGAAACAGAAAAGCCAGATCTCTGTGTGCAAAGAAAGTTCGTTCAACCCCTCCAACTTTCATGGTCTTAATCCCTCTATACTAAAGTATGGTAATCCCCAATCATATTTTAGCTCTACCAATTTCTCCTTTTTGTCTATTCAATTTGTAGCCTCTTCCTTATTACGTCAATTGTTGACATTACTACTCTCACTTTGAACTGTCCCCGGTATTATTTCACTTGTTCCACTTGTCATTCTAAATCAATTCCTTTATGCAACATTAAATTCTATGCTATTAAATTTCACACGATATTACGTAATGTTTTCATTTTGTTCGATTTGTCTAATAATCTTATTATTGCACACCCTTTTTCAAGGTTTATCCGTCCTATGAATTATTCTATATATGACATTAATTTGCTTTGCCACTTGACATTTAACTACGATTATAATAATAATATGAGGTGCAATTAAAACTAAAATGTTTGTGATTATAATCGTAGTTAAAGGTCAAGTGGCAAAGCAAATTAATGTCATATATAGAATAATTCATAGGATGGATAGAACTTGAAAAAGGTGTGCAATTATAAGATTAGTAGACAAATCGAAAAAATAAAAACGTTACGTAATATTGTGTGAAATTTAATAGCATAGAATTTAATGTTGCATAAAGGAATTGATTTAGAATGACAAGTGGAACAAGTGAAATAATACCGGGGACAATTAAAAGTGAGAGTAGTAATAGTAACAATTGACTTAATAAGGAAGAGTATACAAATTGAATAGACAAAAATGAAAAAATGAAAAATGGAGAGTTGGTAGAGCTAAAGTATGATTGGGGATTACCATACTTTAGCATAGAGGGATTAAGACCATGAAAGTTGGAGGGGTTGAACGAACTTCTTCTGTACACAGAGATCTGGCTTTTCTGTTTCGATAGCCAAAGCTTCAGCAATACAGATGAGTCGGGTACGTAGGGATTTGGGTAGATTACTCTTTGCCTTGTAGATGACTTTGAAGGCGGAGGCTATAGAGATAGGGTGATCATTATCGACCAGATGTTCAATGATCGCGCTTCTTATTGCTCCACTACCACCTTTTCGTAACCATGCAGGATAGTGTTCTTGCACCCTCTTGGACAAAACTCGTGTCGAACGACCGATATACCTAGCTCCACAAGAGCAGGTGAATTGATAAACACACATAGAGTTGGTCAACAGCGGGATTTTGTCCTTCAGGTTATTGAACAATAATGGTCGACTAGAAAAGGCTATTCTCAGGGATGCAGCAGGGAATGTTCTTTTCAGGGATTGTGATATCCTCCGTTTCATGATATCGGAAGCTAAGTCCCCTTTGAATTCCAAGCTCATGTAAAGTGTCTTCTTGGGTACGGTTGATAACTCACGTTTTTTAGGATTTGAATGAATATTCTTATCTATAAAACGTGGTGGAAATCCATTTTCTATTAGGACTTTCCTCAAGATGTATAGCTCATCTTCCACAGTATCAGGGCTACATATGCGCCGAATACGAGTGGCAAGCGACCGGATCAGGTTTCGTTTTCGACCAATGGGTACCCAACTGTAGAAATTTGTCAGTTGACCATTCCATGACAGCTTGCGATAAATCGATCTTTTCAGGGTTCCATCGGTCCTTCTTGATAAGTTCACATCGAGGAAATGCATGCTAGACTCGTTCTCCATTTCGAGTGTGAATTTTATCGCCGGATGGCAACCATTAAATACATCTAATATATTATTTAAGTTACAATCACTATTACAAATAATAAAGGTGTCATCTACGTACCTTTTATACATTTGAAAACTTTGGATTATAGGCTTCAGCTGATCATTTTCTAGACTGGACATAAAACAGTCTGCAAGGAGAGGACCCAAGGGAGAACCCATTGCAATACCATCCTTCTGTCTGTAGATAGCTTCATTAAAAGTAAACTGTACATTCAATGTACATCTCAGAAGTAGTTCTTTCAGATCTGTAGT